AAGTTTTGTATGGATGATTTAGACTTAGATTTAGACAAAACATTAATTCATTTTATTTCGATACGTATTTCGTGAAAAATGTGCCCATATCCAAAAAGAAATATACAGAGGTTCAAATTCCAATCAAATTCGTGGTTCTTCGTCGAGTTTGGTGGTAAGATATTCCATCAATAATTGGCATACGTAGGTCAATTAGTTATGCCTCTTTGTTGACTGACTCGTTTTTTTTTTGTTGTTTTTTTAAAGAGCACGAATTTGTCAAATATATTTCCAAATATACTGACGAGGTCTTTGCTTTAAAGAACAAGAAATTCATTGACCATATCCATTGTCGTCAAAATGAGAAAACAGAGAAATATTTTTCATTTATTAGTGCTATAAGAAACAAGACATGTTTTATGCTTGTTAGTATGGCTGTTGATTCCGTCGTTGTATACCTGGTTCTCAGTTGGGAACCTGACATTATTTAAGTGTAAATCTTTCTTTTGCACCAACTTTTCCCTGGTTTTATTGAGTTTGAATCATTATTATATTTGACTTGTTGGAATTTTCTTGTTATTGTTCACATATATGTAGGTATTGAACTTGTCTGTTGGAAGATCTTACCGTTAAGATCGACGAAGATATTATCAACTAGAAAGTCGATAATTTGTTTAATTCAAGAGTGTATTTCACAAAATGTATTTGCTATAGTGCCTTTTTTGTTCCGTACATTCCTTTCAGGAATCTAGTATTGGCCTATGGAGTAGCAGTTACCGCTACAGCTGTCAAAATGTTAAGAAGTAAGCCCTCATGTTAAATGCATTTAAAATATATATTACCAGAACTCTTCAAATATCGTATTGGTGTTGTCTCTATGAAATATACATTTATATATCTTCTATGTGGTATCCTGATTCGGTAAACTGTCTGACATCCCAGTGTTAGGGAAAATGTGATTTCTCAATGCCACAGATGTGGCCAGTTCCATTAAAAAGCCGTAAAGATAAACCAACCACAGGTCACGAACAGCGAAAATGATTTACATGAAGAGATGTCTGCAGAATGGCTTGGTCAGGAAATATTTCGAACTAATACACGTGTTCTATAGTTACATTTCTAGAGATGTCATACTTACATTGGTTTATTCAACAGCTTTATCTGCAATTGGGATTCTGACACTAAAGTTATTAACAGAAAATAGAAACATTTGATTCGACGATTGTTCCTCTAGATCTCGCATTAGTTATTACATGTTTGATAACATCAGTTCTCCTGCTACTTTCAACGTATTTTGTAATTCTACTGAAGTTGAAATACGGGTACTTTTCTACAATCATAATGTCGATAATGACACAAACGTTTGTATGAAAAGTGAAATGTTTCTTAAAATCCATATATACTGACGAATGATTGGATTAATTAATACCTCCCGATTTTTTAACAACAGATCTTAACGATTTTGTTTTTCATAGCTTGCATTCTAGATATCCACACTTTGAGAACCTAGAATCACTAATAGATTTTAAAAGGACGAAACAACTTTCTGATCCAGCTTAATCTATTATTTGACTATACCGTGCCTTATTCCATCAGTTTATTAAAAGTCACTATTCCTTTGTTTTTGCTGATCATCTCATTAGTAATTTGTCTATGCTAAAACGGTCATGTTGTATCAGTCCCTTTCTCACTGAGGACATATTAAGCTTCACATATTCGCTGTAACAATTTTGAAATGATGAAAATTCGATGACGACTCCCTGGATTTGGATGTCTCAGTTTACAACAAAAATTATAACTATCGTGACATGGTATTTATCATATTCAATTTACTTTCCATAATAACTGGAAACTGAACCATAACCTCTTGTATATTTTGTGTATGTTTTGTCGGTGTACAACCCAGAATTCATATGGTACAAATACAGAAATACAAAAATATATAATAACTAACGAATTGTACAAAGGGCACATAAATTAATAGCATCTTTCACCTATCAAATATGAGATACAACAGTAGAAACAAATAATCAACTAAACCTCATCTTAGAGCTGTTTTGTCCTTCGAGGACTCTTTAGTCTTGAATGGCCGAAATCTAGAAGGCTAGTTTGGAAAACTACAGTCGCTCGAATCATATGCTCAAGTATGAATGGACAGATGGACAAAATTAAAGACTTTCAACGAAGGTTACTTTAAACAGAATGTCAGTTGTATGGTATATGTTTAACCATGCCACTATTGGCTAATTTAGAGGACTCAATTCCACTCGCAGAACATACTGCTCTGGTATTTTGCTACGATTCATTCGAATAGTGTCACAGTTCAGAGAATACACATGTACTTGGCGTAGTTCTAAAACTGTCTGATGTATGAAAATAACGACGTTTATTTAATTATCAGGCTGCTGCGTCTCTGCGTCTAGATTTTGACTTTTCCTTTGTTCTCTTTGGATTTTCCTTAGTCGCCTTCTAGGCTCCAAAATTTAGACCCGTAGCATCACTGATGAATGCTAGAAGGCGGAAACAACTGTATGATGCAGTTTAATTAATTGTTTATCTTTAATGTATCTTTCTCTAAATTATGATAAGGCACTGAACACTTGTGTGTAGTTTGTACAATTTTAAAAGATAGTGAAGAACCATAAGAGAAAAACGAACGAATTGACTCATATGATTCAGACATTTGCTGGGGAGTACTGGTGTTGTGTTCCTACGAATCTGGAATGATATCGCGTTTGCTTACTTGCATTTATACAACAACTATCATTCAATTAAATAAAGTATAACACAGCAGTGAGGAGCTTCAAGTTTTTCTCCTTTTTTCACTGTATCTAGCTTTAATGACACACATGATATTGCATCCCTCTCGTGTTATGTTATATACATAATATTGTTTCCGTATTGTGTTATTGTTATGTTGTATACACATGTACATTTCTATATACGGCGTTATGTCTATCTCTGAATGGTAGAAGTATTAACTTACTACCGAGAAAAAGAACAGACATCGTGGAGAGGTATCGACAAGACATCGTGACGGAAGTTGTCAGTGCTTTCCTTTCAACTTGAGATTTGGACATATGTATCATTCTCTATAGAATTACCCAGTACATTAAGGAGACAATGCATGTGATACTGTTCCATCTAGTTGTGATATTACAAACAGAAGTTTATACCTGAGAAAGTCGCCTACTTTACTGAAGGTTACCATCGTTATCGTTACTGACAAACTCACTTGATGTGAAGAATAATGAATCGGAATAGTCTTACTATACAAATATCATAATTATCTTCCTCTCAACTTCACATTTCGATGACACATTTTAACTTGTCGTTGTCATAAATGTCTCCAGTGTCGACGTCGATCAACTGTCTCAACCTGAAAGATGGCCGCCATCTTTGGGCTAGCGACAGAATTCATGAGTATTCCGGGGATGAGATCATGAATATTATCCAATTAAAATTAAAAACCTACCATTATTATTGGAGTTATGATAAGTATATCCGCTATATATATCTATAAACAAAGGAAAAAATATACGATCTTAGAATTAATGACAGCTTTTCCGTTGCTCAAGTATACATTTTACCTAAAAACCTAAAAGTATTGTTCATCAATATACCTAAAAGTATTGTTCATCAATATACTTAAATAAAGTGTTCTAAGATATACCAAAAATGAGTGTTCATAAATATACCTTAAGCAGTGTTTATACACACAAATATAGTGTACTTAGATATAACCTGGACATGCCCCGTTCATGTTACAGATATATCTATGTACACCCTGGCCATGCCCCGTTGATGTTACGGAATTACCTTACCCACGAACAACTTTCTTACAGAGAACGTGTTCCTACTGATACTAGTTGTCATTGGGACGGGTTGGGATACTGCTGAGTGGGACGGGTTGGGACACTGCTGAGTGGGACAGGTTATGACACTGCTGAGTGGGACGGGTTGGGACACTGCTGAGTGGGACGGGATGGGACACTTCTGAGTGGAACTGGTTAGAGCACTGCTGAGTGGGACGGGTTTGGTTACTACTGAGTAGAACTGGTTGGAGCACTGCTGAGTGGGACGGGATGGAGCACTGCTGAGTGGAACTGGTTGGAGCACTGCTGAGTGGGACGGGTTGGGGTACTGCTGAGTGGGTTTCGAGGATAAATAACTAATAAAACGATGTATTGACAGAAGCAACAAACACCAACGTCATCTTGATACGAATCTAATTTCTAAAACTGCTCGATGACGTCATCATAACAACAACGTCATAATACATGTGTACACGATATAATATTGACGCTAAACGATATATCAGCCATTCACGACATCCTGGACGCACAAGTCCGTCTTTACCGCACACAAGATCTTCCACCACGGCAAGTTTCCAGTATAACCTCGGAACACAGTTCTCATGAACAAGAACTACATCTCCTTTCCGTATCACGTTGTCCTTCCGCTTTCCTGATACTCGGTAAAACTCTCCTAAAGAAGTGAGGTATTCATGCTGCCATCTGTTCCAGAATTGGTCAATAAGTAGATGTTTTCTTTTCAATTGTTTGTTGAGTTTCTCGTGTAACTGTTTTTTTAATATATCGTCGACGTTTTTGTTGTGTACAGGATATAACACTGAATGGACCTGTCTTCCGTATAGCAGCTGCGATGGTGTTAACGGTGATAATCGTCTATGTTAGAGTTAACATAAGTTAGAGGACGATCATTCATAATTGCTTCCACTTCGGTTACAATGGTAGTCAGCGTATCATAGGTGGCAAATGCACATCCGATGATTTTCTTTAAGCAAGTCTTGACGAGTCCAGCTAAACGTTCCCAGAACCCTCAATACCAAGGTGCTCCCATGGGAATGAACTTCCATGTAGTACCATATAATCGGAAATTATCTTTCAATGTGTTTGATTCTCCAAGTTTTTGAAGTGTCTTAGATGCTACTTGAAATGTTTTTGCATGGTCTGATATCATAACCTTTGGTTTCGACTTCCTACTTATGAACCGTCTGAATGCTTACAACAAAGTTTCTTCGGATAAATCCATCACTAGTTCGAGATGAACAGCACGCGTGTTTGCGCACGTGAAGAGACAAATGTGGGCTTTTCTGTCCTGTCCATTTCCCTTCACGTGTAACGCTTCCGTGAAATCAACACCTGTAACCGAGATTGGAAAATCATCACAAACACGATCCTTGTGTAGAGGGGTGGTTCTGGTGTAGAGTATGCGTTTCCTGTAATTTTCTTGCATAACACGCAGTTCTTTATCACATTTCCAACAGCCAGACGTGCAGCTGGGATCCAGAATTTCTGACGTAACAGCGTGATTGTTGTTCCTTTACTTGCATGCGTATTTCTTTCATGTGTGTCCATAATCAAAAGTCTTGTAAATCTATGCTTTCGAGGAAGTAAGTACGGAAATTTTGCATCAAAAGGAAGTGGGGCGTTGTTTATGCGACCTCCACAACGAATGAATTTCTCTTCATCTAGATTAAGCCTAAGCTGTCGTATCAGCTTTGAACTTAAAGTTTCTTTTACAGTTCCGTATTCACTGTACGCTTTCTATCCAAGTAAGACTTGCATTGTGTATTTCCGTTTTTGACAATGGTCCGGTTGATCTTTCACGTGGCTTCTTGCAATTTTCAATAAATCGCTTGACGTAATCCGTTATACAAAGCACTCTGGTAAGGGTGGAAAATCTTTCCAAAATTACAACTTCTGCATTTGTTACAATCTTGTCCTTTGAGTTTACTTGAATAGTATGGTTCCCATCCCTGCGTTCGACGTCCACGATTTCCATTGTCGTTAAAACATTACTATTCCAAGCGGGTCGTAAATTTTCGAGGATTGCTTTAATATTTCTCTTTTTGTGATTAACTAATTTTCACCGGTGGATATTTCTTCAATAGCGAAGCAAAGAGTATCAGTTTTGGTGTTCCAACGTAATCCTAGTATCTTAACTATGTCATTTTTGTCGTGTACGGCGTTTTCCCGTGCAATGGCGTTCAATTTGTCGTCGTCAGAAGCCCATGAACGTAAATTGAATCCTCCTTTCAACATTAAGGATCGCGCTTTTTGAAAATAATCACTGAGTTGTTCCTGTGTTTCGAAACTTGAGATGATGTTGTCGACGTAAATATCATCCTTGATGATGTTCGTTTCACTTGATGTATTGGACTGTGTTTTAACATCGTGGCATATAGAATAAAAGGCGAGCAAGTAGCGCCGAACAACACTGGTTTAAATCTGTAAGTAATCAGATCAGACGCGGGGTCGGATGGATCTTTCAACCACAGAAACCTTGTGACGTCACGATCTTTTTTTATCCAGTCCAATTTGAAGAAAAGCTTTTTCAATGTCTGTAGAGACTGCAAATTTCTTCATCCGAAACCTCAACAATATTGAAATGATATCATTCAAATCTGGGGGGTCGTTTCGAAAACAGTCGTTGAGACTTGGTGTGTCAGAAGATTGGCGACAACTACAGTCATAAACGATCCTCAGTGGTGTAGTAGACGATTCATTTCGTACGGGATGGTGAGGTATATAATGGATTTTACTGTTTGACGACATGACATCATTTTCCTCTTCGTCCACTTTTTCGATAAATCCTCGGCGTTCCTGCTCTGCGATGATGCTACCGTATGTCTGTACCATCACAAGATTTAGATTCGGTATTATTTAGCTGTATAATTCCTTTAGTATTTTCAATGTACTCATTTATATTTATCTCAGGCGGATTAATAGTCGTGTATAAATTTTCATAAAATGTTTTTATTTCTTTCAATATTTTTTCTGATTCTTGAATTAAAGTTCCGTTATCATTTTCAAGTTCATTTATTACTTTTGTTGTTTGTCTTTTCTTTTCAAGACTTCTTGTGTCCATTTGATTACTGATCTAATTTGTGCGCATTTTTCAAAGTCTTTTTCAATACCATTTGCTTCGTTCGCCTCTGTGACGGTAATATTTTTCTTCTCATTTATTGTTCTCAGACGTTCTTCGAGTAAGCATATGTCTAGCGAAACGTAATCATACACAGAAGAAAAATATTACCCCTTCTGATCTACAAAATTGATATGAAATAAAATTTAATTTAAAAAAATGTGTTTCAATATGGTGTCCGCTTTGACAATGACGATAAATTTATCGCAGATAATTCGATATTCATGGTCCTGTTCCCGTTAGCACGATTTTCGTGCAAGAAATCTTCAATTGACAAATTCGTAACACAGGATTTCAAAAGATTCAGTTCTTTTTGTATACAGGAAATGTAATAATGTCTGCAGACAAGGATCAAGTTGTTGGACAACTTATCTGCAGGCACAATAACACACCTCTCGAGTAAATCTTGAAGAAAGGTGGATTTAAGTTCAGGATCGAGGAAAGCTGACCTGTGTTTTGTTTTCATTCTAGATTTCGAGCTGCAAATTATTTTACGAATGATTGACAGAATGGACTTAACCCGCTTAGAAAATGAATCGAACGCAGCATGTTTCACCTATTCTTTTGCATAGTTTTCAATAGAATCCATAAGTATAATGAAGTTCATATTCCAATTATTCATGAAAAGCTCTCGTAACTTAACATTTTGAATAATGCAATAAAACCAGTGACTACGTGCCCAGTTTTTATATCTTAACGATCATTGTTCCACGATAGGAAGCATATGTATAGACACCAAATGCATCCGTAAATACAAAGCAGAATAATCAATGTTTGTAGAACGATACTGTCAGATTGGTAAGTATTTTTAATCATATTACAGATGTAAGGGATGGCCAGCTTATATACTGGATATGTATATATGCGTAAATGCATGTATAAATATAATTACAAGCACCTATTTCTCTATTGTTGTTATACTTTCTATCAACAATCAATGTCATTTAAGGCCGTGTTGGTTTGGGATGGTGGAGAACAGCCGTGAATGGTGTAGGCCATCTGGAGTTCCCTAGAAAATACACCGACCAGCGGCTTGTAGTACCAAGCGAAAACCCAACGCACTGATGCTTCGAGTCCGCGACACAGAGGTGGACGGCTAGCTTTAAAGACGTCCAGACGCCTAAACCACTCGGTCCCTTCAAGCAATTACATGTATTGCATTTGTTTCGTGATACAAGGAAGTTGACATATTGCATAGAGAAATAGATATACATTTCAGGCCAGGGAACTATAAACGGGGAGTTTCGAAAACTGCTTACCTTTACGTTCTTATGTATCCAGATAGACACAAATGTTTTTACGACTAACATATGTAATTTAGCATTTAAAAAAAAAAAAATCTATTTTAATTCTATAGGTTACATTCGGGAAGTCAATTTACCTATACATACCCACATGATGCAAAAATTGTTTTCGTTAAAAGAATAAAAGGAAAAATACAGGTATTTAAGATAACAAGAGGCGTGTGACTGATAAAGGTACGTTAAAAAACAGGTAAAGACACTATATGCTGTGTACATAAATATGTCTATAGACACGTAAGATATAAACGTATACAAAACAGAACTGTCTTGTCTTTACAGAATTACAAACCTGTATCAGTGAATATCTCAGGAAAAAATGGACAATTAACCAGTGAATTTTAACTGCCATCGCCGGATAACACTAGAATATCATGGGGTTTATTTCACGTCGATCAGAACATGTAATTTTCCATGGGCGCAGGGAGAGGGTCATAACCCCTGAAGTATCGATGGATGTGTTTCTGTAGTAAAACAACTAGATATTAAGGACCATGATTCGATAAAAAAAAAAAACCCAGGTGTTTCTTCCTTCCTTCAAAAACAGTGTTAGAAGTCCTCCTATTACATGAGATTACAGTATACAATACAATTTACAGAAAAAACGACTATTATACATAAAATCCGTCAGCCACTGGACAAAAAGTAGCTGAGTCACATTCAAGAGGAAAGTAGACAGATCAGTCATGTGTAAAGCAGTTAAGAGGTGAAAGCGTAAGCGGAGCCTAAAATTGATAATAACTTGGTCAGTGAATGATTTCTCATCCGCTAAGTATTGTGAACTGGTGTCCTATTACAGTAGATTTTCTTCTGTAAGTATGGTATGGTGAGAAGGTCCAAGTCTATACTGTCCAATGAGAATAGCGGTAAGTATTACCTTCATCAAACTACTACTGATGTTAATGTATACGTAACTGTAAAGTGATAAGTTATAATCCACGTGACAGTACAAAGCACCAATGTGTATGAATTGCGAGGATTTATCACTTGACACGTGCTTGTTTGTAAGTGATTTCTTACAATTTAGAAATGAGAAATATGTTAAACATGTGACCAGACCTGACCAAAATTAGTGGCCAGACCCATGATACAAGACCAAAATTATAGACCGGTCCAATGACACAAGACCAAAATTAGAGACTAAACCAATGCCACAAGACCATAATTAGGGACTAGACCGATGCCACAAGACCATAAAGGGACTTAACCAATGCCACAATACCAAACTTTGGGACTAGACCGATGCCACAAGACCAAAATTAGGGACAACCAATGCCACAAGACCAAAAGTAGAGAGTAAACCAATGCCTCAAGAGCACAACTTTAAAACAGATCATTGACACCAACCAAATTTTGGGACGAGACAACATCATAGCAGGTCAAAGTTCGTGATCCGATTAAGGAGGCGTGATAAGGCCAGATCAGACCAGACCAGAGAGATCATGTGTTGCAAGCCATTGCAGAACTTTTCTCTATTGAGCGTAGATTGGTGATTTGTCAAGCATATTAATAATTTGTCGTTATCATTTTAACTTCATGAGTAAAAACACCCCCATACTGCTAATGGCGGAGTCAGTGGAACAGCGTTACAAGGACAAGGTGACAATAGTCACTGGAGGGTCTAAAGGCATCGGAAGGGGTTGTGTCGAAGTGTTTGGTAAGTATGTCATCCCTCATAAAGGTATAGCGTTATCCGTCAGAGATCTCCTCCCGCAATTTTCAACCGATTGCTTAAATAAGATAGTGATTTCCGATTGTTTTTCTATTTTTTTTCTTCAAATCGCCCAACGTCCATTTGTCCATCCCTCCACCCGTCCGTCCGTAAATCGCTATTTCTTGAAAAATACGGCATGGATCGCTTTAAAGTAACTGATATAAGTTCCCCTTGGTCTTTAATTGTGCCCGCTTGATTTGGGTACTGATCAGAAAAACAAAATGACTGACAGACGGCACTCTTGGATTTTTTAATGAAGATCGTTTTCGCTATTTCTTGAGAAGCACTCGATCGAACTTTCTCAAATTTCATATGTATGTTTCCTTTGATCTCTAGCTGTGCCCATTCGATTTTGGGTCTGACTTTTCAAATTTGTTATTGCTATTTCTTGAGAAATACTTAATCGATCTTTCTCAAATTTCATATGTCGGTTCCCTTGGTCCCTTGTTGTGTCCATTTGGTTTTAGGTGAGATAAGAAAACACGAAATGGTCGACAGGATTTTTTATTTCAAAAAAGTTTCTTATGCTATTTCTTGAGAAATACTGTATAGACCGTTCTCAAATTTTATGTATAGGTTCCTCTTGATCCCTAGTTGTGCCCATTTGGGTCTGATTAGAAAAAAATTGCCGAAAGTTTGTTATCGCTATTCTTTAGAAGTACTCGATGGATCTTTCTCAAATTGCATATGTACCGTGTAATCGTCAGTGGAAGAGCTCTACTGCCAGTGATACTACAGTGTATTACCAAATACATCGACTGAGGTGTTAATGAACAGTCGGAGTGCTATCCACACTCCCTGAATGAGAGTCCCTATTTTTTCTGGTGGTAGAGTACAATTCGATTATTCCACCTACGCTGAGAAAGCGTGTGACGATAAGAAATTAACAATGCATTTGTGTCAGTCGTTATATGACAGGATAAGCCGAAAAACAGGTGTCCCGATGTGCTTGTACAAAGACGACACAATGTCAAGGACAACAATGTTCACATTTCAATGCAAATTTAGAATGAGTAAAACTGTATTATACAGCCATCTTATCTCTCCAGGACACGCTCGCGACGCTAAGGGTTCAATGTGCTGCATATCAAGAATTCGAACATTATGATAGAGTTATCCTGAAATATTTTCATTTACCGTCGTAAAAGACTTTGTAATTCTCATAATCTTTATACACGGATAACGATGATCTCTCGCGCGCGTAGTGATATGACGTATCTCACACTGGACTTGATTTTCGTGTGTTGTAAAATGCCATGGGGAAATGAGGCTCATCCCTTATATCATTCTTTGTTGATTTTCACGGTTTTTTTACGAAATGTAAATAAAATGAATGTTCGTATTTTGTGATTAGCAACTGTTTGCCGAATATATTTGAATTATCAAAGGAAAAAATAATGTTCATAGTGTTGCTGTGGTATAACATCGACTGAAACAAAACGGTGTTCCATGGTGGTAGTTTTTTTACGTCGATAAACTGAAAGTTTGAAATCGATAAAGATAATTCGATAAAGAAATAATGTATACATTATAATTTTGCTAAGGTTATCGGTCAGTTATGAACATTTTACTGAATTCAATTATAATAGTTATCCCGCGATAGAATGATAATCCTTAAAGAGAGCGGTTTTTTCTCATTCATTTTATTTTTTACTTCAGTAAAACATGGATCAAAGGTGGCGTTTTGTGCAAGGGGAGGTAAGTGTTCATCTATAAATATTTTTGCCTGCTCTCCTTGTCATTTCCTAATGAAATCCGTACCTATAAAATTTCATCAACCCACTCTCCTCTAATTTATGGACATCCCCTTACTTTACCCTGAATCACGAAGTCAGCATTCAGAGTTTCACGTGAAGTACGAAAAGTAGGTTTACGACAAATAAGGTAGTGATAGAAATGGTAATTCATTTCTGTAGTGACGCCTTGTAAGTATGGCCAATGGTCTGTTGATGTAGAATCAGTATAAAGTCAATTTTGTTGAGACCAGGTGATTTGTTGAAGATAAATTTAAATAGCCGGCAGTATTAACTGTAAATCTTATATTCCACCACGGGTACGTGCTTAGGAGTAACCATTTACTTAATTTGGGTATTCCTGATCATGGTGTTATACCGTTTACTTAGAACTTGTTTATATTGTTATAGAAAAAGAGGGTAGAGAACTGGAGGCAGAAATGAATAAGCGTGGTCCCGGGGAAGCCTTCTTTCTCACGTGTGATGTTTCCGAAGAAGCCGATATAATGGTATTTATGAACCTATATCTTTATTTAAGGATATACACGTGTATTCTTCATGCCCAATTTATGCATTGATTAGCTCACCGGTCCGCAGGCGATTCAGCAGACTGCTGGGATGATGGGTTACCACTTGTTAGAATAGATTACCCAGACCAGTTTTCAAATCACGAATCGACTTCTTTATAATTACCCAGAGACTCCGAGTCATAGTATTGGCTAGTAGAATGTTGAGATAAAAGTTTATGTTCGTTCAAATGGATGACCTTGACCCATTTTCAGATATACTGATGAGGTATATCTTACACCTGTTTTACGTTCGATGAACAGCTATATAATAATGGTCATGTAATATGTGAACTTATCACCATGATTGTGATTTCTAATGTATTAAATTTACTTAACAGCATGTGATTGCCAAAACAGTTGAGAAGTATGGGAAGATTGATTGTCTCATCAACAACGCCGGACAACGTACGTCATATCACAAGTACAAACACATAGGGAACTCTCCTATATTACAATAATACGATGTAGGTCTAGCACACACTAACTAGTACAAAACGATGTTGGCCTGACCCGGACTGACCCGCTCTTAGCAACGCCAAACAATGTTGGTCGGACCCGCATTCAACAATGTCAAACAATGTTGGTCGGACCCGCATTCAACATTGTCAAACAATGTTTGTCGGACCCGCATTCAACAATGCCAAACAATGTTGGTCGGACCCGCATTCAACATTGTCAAACAATGTTGGTCGGACCCGCATTCAACATTGTCAAACAATGTTGGTCGGACCAGCATTCAACAATGCCAAACAATGTTGGTCGGACCCGCATTCAACATTGCCAAACAATGTTGGTCGGACCCGCATTCAACAATGCCAAACAATGTTGGTCGGACCCGCATTCAACCATGTCAATCAATGTTTGTCGGACCCGCATTCAACAATGTCAATCAATGTTTGTCGGACCCGCATTCAACAATGTCAATCAATGTTGGTCGGACCCGCATTCAACAATTTCAATCAATGTTTGTCGGACCTGCATTCAACATTGCCAAACAATGTTGGTCGTTCAAGCATTCAACAATGCCAAACAATGTTGGTCGGACCCGCATTCAACAATGCTAATCAATGTTTGTCGGACCTGCATTCAACATTGCCAAACAATGTTGGTCGGACCAGCATTCAACAATGCCAAACAATGTTGGTCGGACCCGCATTCAACAATGTCAATCAATGTTTGTCGGACCTGCATTCAACAATGCTAAACAATGTTGGTCGGACCCGCATTCAACAATGTCAATCAATGTTTGTCGGACCTGCATTCAACATTGCCAAACAATGTTGGTCGGACCCGCATTCAACATTGCCAAACAATGTTGGTCGTTCAAACATTCAACAATGCCAAACAATGTTGGTCGGACCCGCATTCAACAATGTCAATCAATGTTTGTCGGACCTGCATTCAACATTGCCAAACAATGTTGGTCGGACCAGCATTCAACAATGCCAAACAAATTTGGTCAACACACACTTATCAATGTCAAACAATCTGACACACAGTCAAAATACCTAATAATGTTGGTCTGGAACATATTCTACCGCATTAACAAATCTGGTACACTATCTCATGTCGAACATTGTAAGTTCTTGGTCATACACGACAATGCCAAACAATGTATTCTTAGTAGCCTTACCACATCACGTAGCAAGAGATATATAATCCAGAGTCCAACGATTTTGAAGTTATACTTAAGATTTCACGATATTTACACGCCCCAATAATATGATAGTCTACCCTATATCCATCAACACGCCTTTTTCTCTGGTAGATCCCCCACGCACGTCCATAGATGAGATATCTGGGGATGACTTCCGCCGACTATTGGATGTGAATCTTGTCGGTATTTTCCTGTTCTCCAAGGTAAACCGCAATTAAAGATATCTCTGATCTGTAAATTTAGTTTCAAAGAAAATTGTTATTTGAAGTTATTTTATGCTTTAACATTTAAAACAGTCACTTATACATTCGGGAAAAACGCGTTTTGCCGATCTAACAACAGCAATAACTGTTTGTTCATTCATTACATGATACAGTTATATATGATTGAAAGCGTTACCAATATCAAACAAAATCCTGAAATACAAAAAACGTTTAATGATATAAAATTATCAAATGCATATATACGTCATATATAAATGGATCATAAAAAATTGGATTTGTAGCTCACCTAGTCCTATGTCATGGTGCAGGGTCAGTCGTCCTTCCTTCGTACGTTCTTCAACTTTTTTTCTAGAAATCGCTCCTAGATATGGATGACTGCAGAATTTGACCAAATTTAGTCAGAAGCATACTTTGGGAAAATAATCAAAGTTTGTATAAATGGTGGGTCTAGGCCTCCTGGGGCGGAAGGAGCGGGGTCTAATGGGGTAAATAGAGAAAATTCTTTAAAATTCTACAGGAATGGTTGGATTTTGCCCAAATTTAAGACCCAATGTACAAATATATATAATGTGTGTTGTGTGCTTGGAAATTGAGAATTCATTATCCTTTAGTTTGGATGAAGTATTGTCACCCAAACAAAAAACCTAGATGAGTGATACAGTCCCCACGGGTCTCTTGTTATCCAGATCCAATAACATTAAATGTTAGATATTATGTATGGAATGTTTACTACTGAAAATGTTCTTTATTTAAGATTGCTTTGCCATATCTGAGAAAAACCAAAGGCAACATCATCAACGTTTCCAGTTTAGCTGGACAGATAGGTCAGTCTGGCGCCACAGCCTACGTCTCCACCAAGGTCAGTTGTCATACTGACCATTTCATTTCATTTCAGAATATTTTATTGAACTGATCGTATGTACAAAAGGAATTGGGCAACAGGCAAAGCCTATATAAGCCCTTTCCTTACAAAATATAACAGTATATACATGCACTCTACATATGAATATTACTTATACAGAAATTTCATGAATTATTATAGAGTTTGGACAGGAAATTATTTGCGCTTTCCAGTGAATTTCAATGGACAAGAAACATTTTAAATATCAAGATACCGACCATTAAGAATCATTATAGGTCAGTTATATAACTTATATCAGCACGTGTGCTTTTAGTTTAGGGTCAAGGTCGCCACAAAGTTTTCCATTATCACATATCACCGTGTCTATTGAAATGTTATTGTATTATATGTTAGTTCTAAAAGTGACTTAGTATAAAGAATTAGATGATAGAATAAACTATATATAGGTATATAGTGACTTAGTATAAAGAATTAGATGATAGAATTAGCTATCTATAGGTATATAGAGACTTAGTATGAAGAATTAGATGATATAATTAGCTATATATAGGTATAGCTGGGAAATCTATTTAGTTATCAAATATATCTTAAGTTTACATCTCACATTTCATTTACATATCTTGTTCGTCATTTACATAAATGACTTGCCAGAGAAGGTGGACTCAACTGCATACTTATTTGCAGATGACACGAAAATGTTCCAAGTTATTAAGTCTGAAGGAAACATGGCTGCTTTCATTTAATGAAGATAAGTTTAAGTTCATGCACATTGAAAATCATAAAACAGAAAACACCACCTACGTACTGAACAACACAACCCTTGGAGATGTTGAAGAAGTGAAAGATCTTGGAGTAATTTTCAACAAAGAACTAATCTTTGACAACCATATCAGTGAAAAGATACAAAAGCCAACATCAATGTTTGGCATGATCAGAAGAACATTCAAGTTTCTTAACTCTGAGTTATTTACCACACTCTACAAAACACTTGGAAGAACCCACTTAGAATATGCCAGTGTTGTTTGGAAACTCTACAAGATGAAACATATTGAGCAACTGGAAGGTGTCCAAAGGAAGGCAACAAAACAACTATCTGGAATGGGAAATCTGTTGTATTCGGAAAGATTAAAGATGCTGAAACTGCCAACCCTAACCTACAGGCGTTTTCGAGGTGATATGATGTACAAGGCAGTTAGAGGAAAATATGATGAGGGGGCTACACAGTTTATAAGGATGTGGTCTGATACCTCCGAGAGATCCAGGACAAGAACTAACTCACTGAAAATATACCCAAACATGCAAGAACATCATTACTTCCAAAACACTAAACAGCTTCAAAAACAAACTGGATAACACCACACTTATCGGTGTTAGCCCCCTGTAGGTCCAACCTGTAGTGATATTATTTTAGATAATGTGTTATCGGCTCCTCTATTGTGTATATGTAACTGGAATATTTTCACGAAATCGAGAGGCGAATACCAGATGATGGAAATAGAATCAACAGCCATGAAATAAATTTACCAAATTCATTAACAATTCACTATGTATATATACAAAGTGATAACAGAAAAAAAACTCTCCTGGAAAGGAGTGACACATTATGGTTACATTCTATAGTCACCATTAATAAAAAATACAACCCTTGACTAGAGTTGAATAAATCGCCGTTTACATGAAATTGGAAATTAATTCTATCAGCATCAGTAAATAACTGAAAAAAACATTTAACAGCAATTTCATACACAATGGGCCAAATAATAAACTGCTCTAGATATTGAATTAATTTACCACTTAATTAACCAACCAATTAATATTGCAACGGATAATGAGAAATTCACTGTACAATTCACTGTCACATTTGTCACCATAAATTATAACCGACCAAAAGTTTAATAATAGCAGAGGGCGTAATCTATACTGAAGATTAACAATGTCTTTGAAGTCGTAGAGGTTCCTCAGGTGTCACTGAAGTGCCCACACTCTCCAGTTCCCTGTCGTGGCGTGACTGTGATGTCTCCAAGAAGCCTCCAAGCTATCTGAGAAGAGTCTGTCATGGGCAGTCGTAACGAAGGACTAACAGAGTTTATTAAGAGATGGTTGCCATCACTCAGGTGTCATCCTGACCAAACATCGGCTACAGGACTCCATCTGCATGGTCCTACCACTCGAACTAAAAAATGTAAACGACCTGATTGTCACTTCCGGTGTACGTGACTATGAAACTTCCGGTTTCGCAATTATCCCTATTACCTCAAAACATATTTTATCTATTGACAATAGTATACAACTATTAAATGTATCTCTGAATGCCTAGAAATGTTCAAAAATAGACCTTAACAGCAGTTATTACTATCCTTGTACTTCACACAATGTATCGTATATTAGCCCTGCACATGGTTCAGCGAGCCGGTTTCACTACCAACATTACTCACTTAAAATATGACAAAAAATACAATGACAGCTACTTAGCCGGTTATATTTCCAACAATGGTGGTTTTATACAAAACACTCATCCCCGGGAAGTTCCCTAACTCACTTTCTACTCCATGTCTTACGAAGTTTTCAACGCAGTCAGCGTCAACACGGCTATATGCCTCGCAGCCCTGTTTGTCTCTCCGAGCAGTGACGGACAAGCTCGTTTCTGATTATCTAAAATTAGTTCTAACCAACCAGATGTAAACCCCACATAATTATCGTATTTACGCTATTAAACGCTACCCCGCTGGTACCAGTGTACCCTATTGTAATTCACCACCTAAAAACTCCGCCTATGGAAAAATATACCATAGTAGAAATTAACAATTTTCCAACTACAGGTGTATAATAACTGTGATTTATCCACTAAAAAACTTGACACTGACACTACTTGTGACAATCATGGTTTATGTCTCTAATGTAGAAATATATATATGTAAATGTTTGACGGCCGGAAAACATTATTAAATCATTCTCAGTTGTTGGACTGATGATTTTGAATTTTACGATTACGAAGTCAGAAAAACATCCAATTCAAATTAGATATTTTACAGGGCGCCATCACCTCCTTCTCAAAAGCCCTGGCAATAGACGAAGCAGAACACGGAGTTCGTGTGAATGTGTGAGTATACAGGACATCGTCAAATAAAGTATTCCAACAAAATATAAGTATTTCCTTAGTAGTCTCAAAATCCTACATTCAAACTCCGTGGAATTAGTAACAAGCCTATAAAATTAATTTGGTATATGACAGATTTTCCCCAGGAAACGTGTGGACTCCCATGTGGGAACAGGAAGCCAGGTGGAACCCCGATCCCGCGGCAGCCAAACAGGCTGGGAAGGATGCTCAGGTACGCCTTTCCTGTAACACCTGTGTAATACAGCTTTCTCTGATTTACTAATGCAACGCCTTCTTTCTTTAAAGTTAAAGCACATAAGAAAGAAGAAGGTAACATCTACTAATTATTATATTCTGTCAGTAATTTATACGTAATTATTATATTCTGTCAGTAATTTAAACATAATGATTATATTCTGTCAGTAATTTATACATAGTTATTATATTCGGTCAGTAATTTATACATAATTATTATATTCTGTCAGTAATTTATACATAATTATTATATTCTGTCAGTAATTTATACATAGTTATTATATTCTGTCAGTAATTTAAACATAATTATTATATTCTGTCAGTAATTTATACATAATTATTATATTCTGTCAGTAATTTATACGTAATTATTATATTCTGTCAGTAATTTAAACCTAATTATTATATTCTGTCAGTAATTTAAACCTAATTATTATATTCTGTCAGTAATTTATACATAATTATTATATTCTGTCAGTAATTTATACATAATTATTATATTCTGTCAGTAATTTAAACCTAATTATTATATTCTGTCAGTAATTTAAACCTAATTATTATATTCTGTCAGTAATTTAAACATAATTATAATATTCGGTCAGTAATTTAAACCTAATTATTATATTCGGTCAGTTATATAAACAGAATGTATGTGAAGTGAATGACCTTTAATCTTATTTGAACTTATCTATTTGTGCAGACTATTGACCTAGATTATTGACCTTAATCCCTTGTGTTACTCATCACACGTATTTCAGCTGATAGGACGCTTTGGTACGTTGGAGGAGAGTGGCCTCCTTTGTCTTTATCTCGCTGCTGAAGCCACCTTTTGTACTGGGACCGTTGTGAATATGTCGGGCGGTGCAGAGCTGGACTTAGGCTACAAAAATAAAATGAAAAAGTCAGAAGAGTGGAAATAACATTTCACCTGCTGCCTTTGATAATTTTTTGAATACATGATAGTGTTTGTAGCCTAAGTAATGTTCACTTTATACATACTTAATAAAGAATAAAGGCCACTTAAACACATGAGATTACTTACATGAAAACTTCCTTGTTTGTTCAAACTCGTTCTACGGTCAAGGTAATTTATATTTCAAACTGCAGCTGAAATTCAATGATAAAATTATTCATGGAAAACCATTTCAATCGGCTTAAATTATGTTCCCTTCCATTCATGTATAATTTTGAAATATTTTGCGTTGTTGCTCCCGACAACGTTTTGTTAGGACTGGTTTTTTTTCAAAAGAAAATGTTCGTTAAAGAAGATATAGTAGCTCTAAGCATTAACCATTTTTATAATTGGGTGTGCTGTGATTTTCGGCAAAAAGTCGTGATTAACACAAGAGTTACATGAGGTTATTTCTACATAGTGATTCACTCCAATAAGAAACCCCTGCATCATTACCCAATTGGGATTGATTCACAGAGAAGACCTTATACCTAATAATTTTAGAACAATGTCAAGTATACTAGTATATTCTGAACCATGCCATTATTCGAATGAAATAAAACTTAGAGACGAGTTTCAAAAGATCCCATATGAAATGGAAACAAATTTAAGATTCTTACGTCACCTTAATCAGAACACTTACTTTTTGACAATCGTGGAGGACAAAATTAAACGAAGGCAACCGTTTAGTTGCGCTACTTTCATTTTATGACTTTACGTCATTGTCCTCATTATGACATCACAATCGATATCTTTTTAGCGCAGCCAATGAAAAACGTTCTTATGTATATCACTCTGGTGACATATGCAAAAACATTACATGAACTTATTCACTGGACAACGGGCAAATTGTGTTATAAAATATCATATCTCATTCGCACCAGATGTCGGAGAGCACATTCTGAAGTGTCAAATACATGATTAAATATCTGTTATGTGACGTAAATGTGATGACGTGGTTACATGTGTAACAGCTGTAACAAATCAGAAGTCTATGACGTTGGAGTAAAAATCACCTGATACAAGGATCCGGGTACTCGCCAGATGTGAATGAATATAACTATCGATATTGATTTGTCCTATTGATAAAATGGTTAATGACTCAGTTGACAGACTTGTAATGAGGTGATATAAGGAATGGCTTCATTTAGATCATTAGAAAGCTTTATCTAATCGTTTCCTCTTTCCAAATTCTTACCCGTACCGCATATACAAGTTCTATCGCTTTGCAGGGAAAAGGATGGTAAGATTACTGGCAAAACACCACAATCATGTGAGCGCAGAAAGAATAACTTGGTGGAATTGATCCACAATGATTCAAAGCAGAAACAATCCCTCGGTGGAATGGATCAACAATGATTCAAAGCAGAAACAATGATTCAAAGCAGAAACAATCCCTCGGTGGAATGGATCAACAATGATTCAAAGCAGAAACAATCCCTAGGTAGAATGGATCCACAATGATTCAAAGCAGAAAGAATAACTTGGTAGAATGTATCCACAATGATTCAAAGCAGAAAGAATAACTTGGTAGAATGGATCCACAATGATTCAAAGCAGAAAGAATCCCTTGGTGGAATGGATCCACAATGATTCAAAGCAGAAAGAATAACTTGTTGGAATCCCTTAGTGGAATGGATCCACAATGAGTCAAAGCAGAAACAATCCCTTGGTGGAATGGATCCACAATGATTCAAAGCAGAAAGAATCCCTTGGTGGAATGGATCCACAATGATTCAAAGCAGAAACAATCCCTTGGTGGAATGGATCCACAATGATTCAAAGCAGAAAGAATCCCTTGGTGGAATGGATCCACAATGATTCAAAGCAGAAAGAATCCCTAGGTAGAATGGATCCACAATGATTCAAAGCAGAAAGAATAACTTGGTGGAATGGATCCACAATGAGTCAAAGCAGAAAGAATCCCTCGGTGGAATGGATCCACAATGAGTCAAAGCATCAAAGAATCCCTTGGTGGAATGGATCCACAATGATTTAAAGCAGAAAGAATCCCTTGGTGGAATGGATCCACAATCACTCAGAATTTGGAAAAAAGATCCTTTCACTTCAATTTGAAACATTTTACTGACATACTTATACATATATGCCAAAGGGATTGGAAATCAGGCAGAGCCTATATAAGTCCTCTCCTACACATAACATCACAGGGACTGGATATCATGCAGAGTGTATTGAAGTCATCATTCACTCATAACATCACAGGGACTGGACATCAGGCAGAGCCTATTTAAGTCCTCCTCCACACATAACATCACAGGGACTGGACATCAGGCAGAGCCTATTTAAGTCCTTTCACACACATACCATCACAGGAACTGGACATATGGCACGCATTTATAAGTCCTTTCCCACACATAACATCACAGAGATTGAACATCAGGCAGAGTGTATTGAAGTCATCATTCACTCATAACATCACAGGGATTGGACATAAGGCAGAGCCTATTTAAGTCCTCCTCCACACATAACATCACAGAGACTGAACATTAGGCAGAGCCTATTTAAGTCCTTTCCCACACACAACATCACAAGGACTAAACATTAGGCAGAGTGTGTTTGCCTATTTAAGTCCTCATCCACACATAACATCACAGGAACTGGTTATCAGGCAGAGCATATTTAAGTCCTTTCACACACATAACATCACAGGAACTGGACATTAGGCAAAGCATATATGAGAAATACCAAGCCACGATAGTTATGATTTTAGTTGTAAACTGAGACACCCAAAATCAGGCAGTTGTCACCAGATTTTCAACATTTCAAAATTGTCACAGCGAATATGTGAAGCTTAATATGTCCTCATTGAGAAAGGGACTGATACAACATGACCGTTTTAGCATAGACAAATTACTAATGAGATGATCAGCAAAAACATACAAAGAATAGTGCCTTTTAATAAACGGTATAATCAAATAATAAATTACGCTGGATCAGAAACTTGTTTCGTCCTTTTAAAATCCGTTAGTGATTCTAGGTTCTCAAAGTGTGGATATCTAGAATACAAGCTATGAAAAACAAAACCGTTCAGATCCATTGTTAAAACATCGGGAGGTATTAATTTATCCAATATGTATTAAGAAACATTTCACTATTCATACAAACGTTTGAGTTATTATCGACAATATGATTGTAGAAAGTATCCGTATTTCAACTTCAGTAGAATTACAAAATACGTTGAAAGTAGCAGAGAACTGATGTTATCAAACATGTAATAACTAATGATCTAGAGGAACAATCGTCGAATCAAATGTTTCTATCTTCTGTTTATAACTTTAGTGTGAGAATCCCAATTGCAGATAAAGCTGTGGAATAAACCAATGTAAGTATGACATCTCAAGAAATGTAACTATAGAACACGTGTATTAGTTCGAAGCATCTCCTGACCAAGCCATTCTGCAGACATCTCTTCATGTATATCATTTTCGCTGTTTGTGACCTGTGGTTGGTTTATCTTTACGGGCTTTTAATGGAACTGGCCACATTTGTGGCATTGAGTAATCACATCTTTCCGAACACTGTGGAAAATGATGATCTCAATTTGGGATGTCAGACAGGTTACCGAATCCTGATACCACATTGAAGATATATAAATGTATATTTCATAGAGACAACACAACATCTATATCAATTGCTTCTTTTAATGCTGTTGCAGTTCATTGACAAATGTACAATATTTTTGTGCGCATTATTTCACTTTAAAACCGATACGATATTTGAAGAGTTCTGGTAAGTGAAAAAAAAATTTCGTTTAGTAAATGAGCTCAATACTGCCGAATTTCATAGAATTCTGGCTTTATAATCCTAAAAGTTGCAGATAATAAAAAGTGACAACTATATTTTTGAGTTTTTATTTGCTTACGTTCTAATATGTAACTAAGACAAGAATTACATAATTAATTTCCTGCATGCTTTTAGGGACTACTTGGGTACACAACATTTGTACCGCCCGCAAACGTCAGATCTACCCCTATCTTCTCGTTCGTAAGACCGGCAACTACTCCTACACCAACCTCTGTTACCTCTACAAGAATGGCTGTCACGGTCACCTGTATAATTAAAAATTGTGAGAATGCATTGTAGGTAGCCTTAACATAGGTATAAGATGAATTGTTTGACGACAAAAATGGGCAAGCTTCAGGTATCAAAATGAATTGTGTGACGACACCCAAAGAGGTAGCCATGAGATGAGTATGAGATGAATTGTAACGACACCCAACAAGGGAACCTTGAGGTGGGTATCAGATGAATTTTGACAACACTTAAAGAGTTAGCCTTGAGGTTGGTATCAACTGAATTGTGACGACACCCAAAGAGGTAGACTTGAGGTGAGTATAAGATGAATTGAGATGACACCCAAAGATGTAGCCTTGAGGTGAGTATCAGATGAATTGTGACGACTTCAAATGGATAGCCTTGAGGTGTGTGAGGATCAAATGAATTGTTATGACACTAAATGGATAACCTTGAAGGGAGAATCAAATTAATTGTGAAGGCACCCACAGAGGTAGCCTTGATGTGAATATCAAAGCAACTATGGTGACACCGTTCGGGTGATGATACAACAAAATTAGCATTCGGGTAATCGTGACGACAAAATTATGCATTTATGAAAAAAAGTAATATGTGTACAGTTTAATTTATATTTTAAATACATTTAACATGAGGACTTACTTATCCTTTTTGCAATTTTGACACCTGCAGCGGTAACTGCAGCTGCTCCAAAGGTCGTCACTAGATACCTGAAAGGAATGTACAGAACAAAAAAGGCAATATAGCAAATACATTTTGTGAAATATACTCTTAAATTAAAAAACATTGAAGACTTTCTAGTTGATATCATCTTCCTCGTGCTTGAGGGTTAGATCTCCAAACAGACTAGTTCAATACCTACATGTAAGTGAACAAGAACAAGAAATTCAAACATGTCAAATATAATCATAATCCAAGCTCAATAAAACCAGGGAAAAGTTGGTGCAAAAGAAAGATGTACACTTAAATAATGTCAGGTTCCCAAATGAGAACCAGGTATACAACGACGGAATCAACAGCCATACTAACAAGCATAAAACATGTCTTGTTTCTTATAGCACTAATAAATGAATTTCTTGTTATTTAAAGGCAAGATATCGTCAGCATATTTGGAAATATATTTGATAAGTTCCTGCTCCTTTGAAAACAAAAAACAAGTCAGTCAACAAAAAGGCATAATTAATTGACCTAGGTATGCCAATTGTCTGATGGAATATCTTGTCACCAAATTCGATGAAGAACCACGAATTTGGTCGGTATTATGATACCTCCGTATATTAATATTTTGTCTAAATTATCCATACAAAACTTGGTTAAGCATCGTGTCCCATCATATTAACTGAATAAATGAACTATTTAAAACATCGAAGGGAGATCTATCGGATTTCTAGGAGAATTATTTGGCTTCATCCTAAAAGAACAGCCTCCTCTAAGGACTATTTTCATATGATAAATGTTTCATCGATGAAGAACGAAGTTAAACGCAGGGTGTCTGGTGAGGACGGCTTAAGCACATTGAGAAACATTGTTTCATTTTTGAAGTTCGGCATGTTCAAAACTTGTTAGTTTGTCTTACATGCTTGTTGCTATCTCCTAATCAAAGTACACCTAGTATTACCTAGATTTGAATTTGAACTTGATATGATCTACTGGTATAATATAACGGATGAATACAGACAGGTAACAGGTAAATATAATCTAGACAGGTAACAGGTAAGTATCAGCTAGATAGGTTCGATGTAAATATAATCTAGATAGGTAGCAGGTAAATATAATCTAGACAGGTTAAAAGTAAATATAATTTAGACAGGTAACAGGTTCATATAAGCTAGACATCTTAAATGTAAACTTAATCTAGACAGGTAACAGGTAAGTATTAGCTAGACAGGTTCAAGGTAAATATAATCTAGACAGGTAAATATAATCAAGACAGGTAACAGATAAATATCAGCTAAACAGGTAACAGATAAATATCTGCCTGACTGGTTAAAGATAAATATAATCTATACAGGTTAAAGGTAAGTCTAATCTGATAGGTAAATATAAGCTAGACAGGTTACAAGAAAATATAAGCTAAACAGGTAAACATAAGCTAGACAGGTTACAGGTAGATATAATCTAGACAGGTTAAAGGTAAATATAATCTAGACAGGTTCAATGTAAATATAATCTAGACAGGTTAAAGGTAAATATAATCTAGACTGGTAAATATAAGCTAGACAGGAAACAGGTAAATATCAGCAAGACAGGTAACAGGCAAATAAAAGCTAGACAGGTTAAAGGTAAATATTATCTAGAAAGGTAAATATAAGCTAGAGAGCTAACAGGTATATATAAGCTAGACAGGTAACAGGAAAATATAAGCTAAACAGGTAAAAGGTAAATATAACTTAGATAGGTAGCAGGTTAACATAATCTAGACAGGATACAGGTTCATATAAGCTAGACATCTTAAATGTAAACTTAATCTAGACAGGTAACAGGTAAGTATCAGCTAGACAGATTCAAGGTAAATATAATCTAGACAGGTATCAGGTAAATATAATCTAGTCAGGTAAATATAAGCCAGACAGGTAGCAGGTAAATATAATCAAGACAGGATACAGGTAATATAATATAGACACGTAACAGGTAAATATAATCTAGTCAGGTAAATATAAGCCAGACAGGTAGCAGGTAAATATAAGCCAGACAGGTAGCAGGTAAATATAATCAAGACAGGATACAGGTAATATATAATCTAGACAGGTAACAGGTGAATATAATTAAGACAGGCAACAGGTAAATATCAGCGAGACAGGTTAAAGATAAAAATAATCTAAACAGGTTAGAAGTAAATAAAATCTAGACGGGTAAGAGGTAAATATAATCTATACATGTTAAAGGTAAATATAATCTAGACAGGTAAATATAATCTAGACAGGTAAATATAATCTAGACAGGTAAATATAATCTAGACAGGTAAATATAATCTATACATGTTAAAGGTAAATATAATCTAGACAGGTAAATATAATCTAGACACGAAACAGGAAAATATCAGCTAGACAGGTTAAAGGTAAATACAACCTAGACAGGTCAAAATTAAATATAACTTAGATAAGTAGCAGGTAAATATAATATAGACAGTTTACAGGTAAATATAATATAGACAGGTAACAGATAAATATAATTTAGACAGTTTACAGGTAAATATAATCTAGACAGGCAACAGGTAAATATAATCTAGATAGTCCTATTTACGTATGTATTTAGTTACGATCGCGATGTCGGTTTATAAAGCACAAATGAGTTGTTACCTGAATATGTGTGGTGCTACCATTGCCCCAACGTATACAAGAGGGATGGCACGCTTCTGTCTGGGATGATCCTCCTCTGGAACAGACGCTGGAAACACCGGACATAAGACAGCCAGCAGGATGGTCGCTACGTAGAACACTGCATAACATCTTACAAGTGAGGCAGAAACCATGGCGATCAGGTATCTGAAGCACATGTAAATCATAAAGGAAAAGTAGAATTTATGACAAGTGATGAAGTTCCTCGACCTGCTTAACACAAATCAAGTGTATATATAATTGAATACGCTCGTCATTAAATTGTAGGACACACGTGGATATGCACCCACCCTCATTAAAAAAAATCAAAATTGATATCTAAAGTAATACATATATTGTACTCACATTTATATCCTTGAGAGTAACAAGTCCCGTCATCAATATTTTAAAATAACACTCAATAAATACATGCTCATGAACAGAACTGAGGTGGGTTTCGAAAAGGTGAAGGCTACAACAACGTCACTGAAGCATAACTTGCACGTACTGCACCATCAGTAAAACTTGCACTTTGTATATGTATGGGGTAGTCATTATGGCTTGTCCTTTCCTTTTGGTATCCAGTCTTCTAACGAACATTACCATAGGGCTCGTTAACATGGATACCGCTGATCGATCGATCATTCCGACCGAAGCCAGGAAATTTTTTACCTGATATAAGGTGACATCGACACAAAAAAATGGAAATTTTGGTAGAATTTAGATGGAATGGACCACAAAATATATTCGACACAAACGCAGTTTTCGACTCGACAGTGTTTTAATCATCCGTGCTTAATTTGCTAAGATAAAGGAGAAAAAGTCGGGATTCGACAGAAGTGAGTTTTACTGTATATTTCAATCAATTCATAAGTATATAAAAGGATTTTAAGTTTAAACTTATAAAAATCTGGTTTAAAGCATCAGGTCTGTTGTGTTGATTTTCTTCACATTGACTGCTAACGCAGCAAACGAACACACCTGTCTTACTTACGTCCGATTAAATATGCAAAAACGGTAGTACTTTCTTTCGGATTCATCAACCGCGTTAGTAAGTACATGAAGATGTCCTCTAAAAGTTCGCACTAGACGATAATTCAAAGACATAACCGCGATTAGCCTGAGTGTACCACAGATTGAGCACTCGGCGTTTATTACTTATATATACATGTAAAATGTCTTCATGATGTTGATTACACAATAAAACCTTCACCATATAATTATAAAAACTCTCACATAACACACTCAAATTCTATACTCGGAAGTGAAAAGTATCGCCAAAAAGAGTTACTACTAATGAGCCAAGCGAGTCACCAACCTGAAAACCTTACAGGGAGCACAGAAGGTGCACCAACCCTCAAAGCTTAAGGTTAAGTGATCTGGATTTCTAACGAACTTACCAATTATATACTTGTACAATACATCTTGGTGAAATTTCTATGTGTTATTTTATACTTTATACAACATAGATAAAGCTTACAAAATGACAATGTCTTGCGATATAATTAGAATGATCCTAGTAATACACATTTTTTTTATTAATCGAACTGGTGTCCACGGTTAAGAGTGCCTAATACCTCGCCTGCCCTTACACTCTCTCCTGCTCTAGCACGTGCAGACCACGTGTCACTCTTCTTACGGAAATATCCGAAGAACGTACATATAGGACAACTATTTCCGAAATTATATATACATATATACATAATACATATATATCATACACATATATAGTGTTTATTTTCTTTACCTGGTAGAAGTCTGAACATATAACCTGCTCTCGACTACATTTGATTGAAATGAGAAAAAGATTGTTTTATTTCATACTGAAAGTAATTATCTTACCTTTAAGAACCGTTTTAAGAAGTCGAAAATGGCCCTGCTGATGTCGAGAAACCGACGCAGTGCCCTATTTATAGCCTGGACATTTGTTGTAAACATGTCACTCCCTAACCACAATTTGATGTACGAGACCTTCAGTTTTAAATTCTCTCTTGATTAGTTGCATAGATTATCCAGATAACACGTAACACTTTCGTTTTTGATATAGAAAACATTCATAGAGAAGATTGAAGACTGGATCTTCGTGACAGACGCAGTTACACAGCCAAAAAACAAGGAAAACCATATCCTGGTAGGGAAACCCATTTGTTTAGATATTTAATTGGAAAATTGGGCTGGAAATTCCATGTTACACGTGATTTACATGACATCAGAATTAAATCAAAATTGTTTTATTTTTCTGTCTGTTTGTAACGCAAACAGGACGTATGGTTAATACTGCGTTTTTAATGTTTTTACGTGGTTACTTAACACAACTTATCCATTTGAACACATCACAAAATATTATCATTCCTAAAGCCATTAACACGGCAAGTTATCTTTTATTATAGAAATAGAGTGCAACAACCCACTCCGGGTATAATTGTTCAAGTCAATTTATAAGTCTACAGACAAACACATGTGTAAATACCATCTTTCAACACAGAATTATTAGATACATCGCCACATAATGAATGAAACTCTGTCATTTCGCTATTCCGTCCTCCCGAAAGGTCTAAATTATTGAAACCTTACAGGCGAATGGCGAAATATCAAACACCTTAAGTTGCACTTTCTGCAAAAATAGGACAAATTCCATGATTTTTAGTGTAAAAAACATATAAAATAACAACTACAAGTTTAAATTTTGAACCATGTCATTGTTCAAATAAATAGAGACGTGGTATGAAGAACACGGCAAATCTAAGGTCCGTCAGTAGAATCTGCTGTCGTAAAGGATGTACAAAGAACCTGTAAGTGAACAGCACATTTCAATACAATCTTTGATACAGTAAAGCAGAAAGTTGAACTGCATCATACGGCTATTTCAACGATGCTCGATATACAGCTGTTTAGTCTTTCTGGGACACGTCAGTGATGTTACATTATACAGCTGTTTCGTCCTTTTATCGTCAGTGATGTTATATCATACAGCTGTTTAGTCTTTCTAGGACTCGTCAGTGATGCTACATCATACAGCTGCTTCGTCCTTCTAGGACTCGTCAGTGATGCTACATCTTACAGTTGTTTCGTCCTTCTTTGACTCATCAATAATGCTACATCATACAGCTGTTTCGTCCTTCTTGGACTAATCAATGATGCTACATCATACAGTTGTTTCGTCCTTCTTGGACTCGTCAGTGACGTTAAGGGCCTTAATAAGACCATATCGCGTGTGATTAGACAAGTTTAAAAAGTATGGTTGTGCTGTGTCTGTTTTTTTCAATTTGAAAGTTCCTTTAATTTCTTGAAGCTGGTTCAAAATTAAGAATCGTTAAGTAACAAGACAAGTAGAACACTATCCCCACAAATTGGGCTAGAAATGTATTTGTCTTAATTGTTAGGGTAGCAGTGACTCATTATCTCACAAGTTTATACATATTTACCAACATTTGTTTTCAGGGTTTTGTAAAGCAATATTTTTTATTGTTTTAACCTGTTACAGCTGTTTCGTCCTTCTGGGACTCGTCAGTGATGCAACATCATACAACTGTTTCGTACTTCTAGGACTCGTCAGCGATGCTACATCATACAGCTGTTTCGTCCTTCTAGGACTCGTCAGTGATGCTACATCATACAGCTGCTTCGTCCTTCTAGGACTCGTCAGCGATGCTACATCATACAGCTGTTTCGTCCTTCTAGGACTTGCCAGTAGCACAAATAGCTTGCATAAGAATACGAACAAGCCCAATATTATTTGTGAAGCTCTAAAGGCACCTCATATGGGTCTTGTATTATTAATCTAGCGTGATACATTTGTTTCTTTGATTGCAACAGTTGATGATTCGGGCTGAATTTTAAAAATCTGCCGTGATGTAATTGATTTGGTGTCCGCAAATATACAGGTTATTTGTAATAATTTATTCCCCAGCACAGCAAACTTTTGTTGATAGAATATCAACTCTCCATTATATTGAAATACCAAACAGCTGTATGACACAATTCAATATTCGCAGTATATCTTTTTAGCCTGTCATCATCAAGGAGTGGGCTACACATATTATCCTGCGTCCGTTGGTTTCCCTTAGTCCCTAATTGTGTCCGTTGATTTTGAGACTGTTTAGAAAGATGGCCATCTAGGATGTTTACAATTCTATCGCTTTATCTTGAGAAGTACTGGATGGATTTTTCTGAAAAATTCTGTATGTGGGTTCTTCTTTGCACCTAGCTGTATCCATTTGATTTTGGGACTGATCAGAAAAACAAAATGTCCGACAGGCGGCTCTCTTGTATTTTGACTATCAAATTTTGTTATGGCTATTTCTTGACAAATTCACGATGAATCTCTCTCAAATTCCATACGTAGGTTCCTTCTTGTCCGTAGCTGTGCCCGTTGATTTTGTCCATCTTATTCTTTTCAAGGGTAATGAAAGAATCTTTCAGAAATATCTTCTGTAGATTACTCTAGGTCCCAGATTGATCAGAAAATCAAAATGGTTGACAGGTGGCCATCTTGGCTTTGACAATGAAAGATTGTTATAGGTATTTCTTGAGAATTACTCGACGAATCTCTGTCACATTTCATAGATTCCTTTTGGTCCCTAGTTGTGCCCTTTTGATTTTGCGACATATTTGTACTAAATGGATCTTTCTTTAATTCCATGTCAGTTTCTTCTTGGTCTCTAGTGCCACTTTGATCTTGCAACTTGTCAGAAAAACAAAATGGCTGTCGAGGAATTTGACAGAGAAAGTTTAGTATCACTATTTCTTGAGAAGGTGTATGTTTTTCAAATTTCATATGTAGGTACACTTGATCCATAGTAATGCACTTTCATTACTGGAAAAATGCACAGCAGAAATTACATTTCCCTCCTGATCCGTGGACTAAATCGCCAGGAGAAATTACATGTCCCTCCTGATCCGTCGACTAAATCGCCAGGAGAAAATACATCCATGGTGACATGTGCACTAAATGCCCAGGGGCAAATAATTCCCTTGTGATTTGTGGATCAAATCCACAGGGGAAATTATTTCCCTCATGACCTGTGTGTTAAATCCCAAGGGGCAGGTACTTCCCTTGTGACCCTTGGACTAAATCCCCACAGGAAAATATTACCCCTTTGTTCCTTGTCGCCCACTGACTAAATCTCCAGGGGCAAATACTTCCCTCGTGACCCATGGATTAAATCCCTGGGAGAAGATACTTCCCTCGTGACCCATGGATTAAATCCCTGGGAGAAAATACTTCCCTCGTGACCCATGGATTAAATCCTTGGGAGAAAATACTTCCCTCATGACCCATGGATTAAATTCCTGGGAGAAAACACTTCCCTCATGACCCATGGATTAAATCCCTGGGAGAAAATACTTCCCTCATGACCCATGGATTAAATCCCTGGGAGAAGATACTTCCCTCGTGACCCATGGATTAAATCCCTGGGAGAAAATACTTCCCTCATGACCCATGGATTAAATCCCTGGGAGAAAATACTTCCCTCATGACCCATGGATTAAATCCTTGGGAGAAAATACTTCCCTCATGACCCATGGATTAAATCCATGGGAGAAAATACTTCCCTCATGACCTGTGCAGCAAATCCCTGGGAGAAAATACTTCCCTTGTGACCCATGGATTAAATCCCCTGGGGCACATACTTATCTATGACCCATAGACAAAATACTTTCCTTGTGATCTTTGACCCATTGTCTAAATCCCCAGGGGGAAACTGATATATATGTATCGTATTTCCATTCATTTAAGGAGGACAATGCTGGTACACTATCTGTATTTGTCTCTTTATCTCAATCAACAGTATAATGTATAAAGATGAGAGCCATCCCCAAGTAATCTGTTAAACATAAACACTACTGAAACACCTACAGCCAAAAAATATTGAACAATAATATGTAACATGAATATTATAAGAAAGTGTGTGTAATTCTGGGGTAAGTAAAATGAATGAAATAAGAGAGCCTTTCGGTGCAAAGACAGTGTATGTAATATCAGTGTATCTTTTTCTGCGAATAAAATAATTGTTTAAAAAAAATAAATATTTCTACTGAAAAAAATTCTATGTAATGATTCAATTAAAATTGTTAGAAGAGACTATTGATGAACTGACAAGACAAGACAAGATGAGCACAACACAGTGTGTTTAATGTCATTTAAAGTAAAATTATCTCCTTCTTCTGAATCACACATCTCTGCACCCAAGGACTGAATCATTATTAGAATAAATAGCTGTCATTCACATTGATTTCACACACAGACATTTCTCAGCTGTAAGCCTATAGTATTTAAGTACGGTAATGTCACTGATTATTGACAGAGTGATGAGCTTCAGCCCTGTCATATTCATGATATCCTAATTTGGTTCTGTTAAAAACCAAACTTGACGTTGGGATATTCTCCACAGCTCCATTGGTATTTGTGGCAAGCATAATAAAGCATTCTGTGAGTCTTTACCACTTTGGTGACAATTATTGCACAAAGTCTGAAACCTTTGTAGTGAGTTACATAAATCTAATTATTCTTCATCTTCTCAGCTGGATTTTCGGTTGTAAGAAAATTTAAAGAATGTTGCTTTCTCAAAATCTCCATTATCCACAGCCTAAAACCAAACATAAATCAAGCATAAAAATGTGACTCATTTCATAATGTTTAATGTTCAGCAACACGAGAAATTGTAAATTTACAAAAGTATTAAGACCTTGTCATTCAAAAGCAAGTAGAAAACAGACATACTTTGTTGAGCAAAGAATATAGAGATTTGTCATGTTATTTAGATAGAGAATTAAATCAGGGATATTTAAGTTTATAATATCTGTACAATCATTGACAGACAAGAGAAGGGACAGATTACTCTAATTCACATTTCTTAGTTCACTTAAAATAGCGCAAGTATTTACCTCACATCCTGCATCAGTAGCTATGGATGTCACCGTCTTCCCAAACTCACCCACTTGTTCCAGCTTCAGTTCTAACATGTACCTACCAATCACAAGGTAAAACAGAAGGTTATTATTTCATTTTATTTCAGAATATTTCATTGTACAGATATCAAGTAATATGGAAACAAGACCCCCCTCTTTTATATTTATCTAATTCTGATCATGGAGTATTTTATTTTTCAAATACGACTTCAATAAAATAATTTTGAATTATGAATAAAAGTATTCAATTTGGTATGATATTTCTTCTTTATCATCCTAGATATCATACTGTGGAATATTTCTAATATTTCTGGGGTCATAATGTGACAATAAAAATATCAGAACACATGTATTTAGTTACAATTCTATTAATATGAAATAGATCTGAAATTTTACTCATTTGTCATTATTTTGGAGAATGACTTATTTTGGTTTTACAAAATATCAAACAATTTTTGGAATAGTTTTAAGTTCCTCAAATGAAACAAACAATTGTCCTGGTTACTTGTAGCTTACTTTGCTGATTCCAATATCAATGTGGCACGGTCGGCAAAAATTGAGGACACATCCTCCTTTAGTAGGTGTACTAGACTGTAAAAGACAAAGGAAATACAAGTCTTTGTTTGATAACATTGATAGTGACAGGAGTTCATGTGAATGAATAACATGCTAAAGTAAACATAACATGACCGCTATTCACATCATGAAATTCAGACCTACCTATTGGCAAAGTATATCACATGGAAAAGTTTCTGATACTTGCTCTTCTTCGAGAGCTCAGTAAGACTGCTGACTGGCAGGAAAGTCACTTTAAAACCATCCACTGGCATCGACTCTAGAAATAAATACAAAAGAAAAAAAATGTACAAAAGACACACAGTTGGATAGCATCTTTCAATATGAAAATTGTACAATAAACACACAAGTGAATAACACATTTTAATATGAATACAGTACAAAGGACACACATATGAATAACACATTTTGATATGAATATTTTACAAAAGACACACATGTGAATAACACATTTTGATATGAATATTGTACAAAAGACACACATGTGAATAACACATTTTAATATGAATATTGTACAAAAAAGGATTTCAAAATTCTTATTTTTTTCCATTTATGCTTGGATTAAAAAACTATCACTAAAACAGTATCAGCCAGAGGCATCCTCGGAATTTACAGACAACACAACATTTATAATATTTTGGATCTAATGATGTTTCTGTCCAACTAAATGCACCTCAGGAACCTATAAGCTTTCCATCAGCGTCCATGACTGAACTGAATTTACCATATTCCTGGTCCAGTGTTGACGTCTCAGGACATCCCTGCTGCTTTCTTGCTTGCTCCTCAGCATCAGCATCAGCTTCCTCCTCTAACTTTTTTAGTGTTTCCGCTGCTGTCCTCTCTGTCTCTTCTTCCTTTTTCACATCTTCCTCTGTTTCCTCTGTGATGTCTAACAATGATATAAAATCATAATTTTTCTCTCCGTTTATCGTAAATGGTGCCATTCCTTAAACTTACAGATGTCAGTATAACTGTATCTGGAGCTTCACAATCTCTATACTATTTATTCTTGACTTACCGTATTCGACCCAATAAACGGCCATGTCCCTATAAGCGCCACCTCCCCTTTCAGATACCTAAAAGTCTAGATTTACTTACCTTTTAGTCACGATCAAGAATTGTTTTAAGTTGGTTTATAAGGAGATGTACTCCAGAAAAACATAAAAAACTCTTTAAATCTAAGATGGTCTAAGATGGTTTTATTGCATGTAAAAAAACTAGTGATTTTATAAATACATGAACCATACAGTAGATTTTTTAGTACTGAATGTGTTTCTTTTAAATCTAAGATGGTTTCTAATAAGCGCCCCCCTTAATTGCAATTTTTTAAGCGCCCTGGGTGCTTATCCGATCGAATATGGTAATGTATTTACATATCTACAAAACAAAGTTGTAAATTAATACCTGTGATCGTGGGACCATCTGACTTGGAATCTTTACTGTCAGATATGTCATCCTGTGGTTGTGGTTTCACATACTTTGTCTGTGTTGCAATCTCGTGAAACATTGACAGTACGTTGTATTCAGCAAGGTGTTGAGAAGTCTACAAATCAACAAAAAACCAGCCATGATGTATTTGTACCTGGAATATCAACAAACTCCTACCAATGATATTTGAATCTTACCAGAACAATCAATTATTGCCAAGCACATCACTAGCAGCACTTAATTACATATTGAAGCAAAACATAGGATGGGTGAGGGATGTAAACATATAAATTGAGAAGTCTTTCACATCGCAAAAAAATTGATTTCAAAACATAAGAGAAAATTTTTTTTGAAAAACCCAAAACAGAATTAGATAGCAGTGACATCTGTCTTAATAATTTTTTTATACTAAACTAAAATGGTGTATGATGTAGACATGTTTTTATTACGGAGTTTGAATTTTTAGGGCAGAATGCTGACACCAAAATTGGGATAAAACAACAGTTTACAGTTACATGAAACTGGTGAGCTATAGATGACCACTACCAAGTTCAGTTCACTGAAAATGTTCAGGGTTGTTTTTTTTCACAGGTTAGTATAACTTCACAAGCTGTGTTTTTTACCGTGTTTACATTTATCTAATGATGATTCAGATATCAACATGAAAATTTAGCTGTATAAATTCCAAAAAGTGGATATAGCACCATATTAAGCAGGTACTTAACATGTCAATATTTTTTTATCATGGTATCTAACATCAAAGCCTATACAAACCTGAATAGCTTACAACAAAGTGAAATAGAGGCTCACTATCACATTCACTGATTTCTCTTTTGTGAGTTTTCCTGTTACAACTGATTAATCTGACGTGAAATTGAAATTCTGTTTCTCTTATTAACTCTAAATAAATTCTATTCAATTACACAGCCCCTGAGATATTGGACAAATCAGACAAAAATAAGTATCACTGAGTATTATTTCATATGTATTTTGGTTTGACACTAACACTCATGTTTATGTTCAATTTTATTCAATAAAAATCAAAAATTTAAATAAAATGAATTCCTTCACCTTCTGATAGACATTGTTGCTTTTTTTGAAGACAGATTTGTCCTCACACTCGATGCCAAGTGCAACATAGGGACTGACAAGTATGTCTCCCCAGTAGCCCCGTCTGTGGTGCCGTTCTCCTTCCTGTGTAGAAATAAATAGTAATACTCAGTCTCCTCTCATACAACCACATCACCAGTGAGTGTTTCTACAATGTTAGATATGGAAGTGTTGAAATGCTAATAACTAGCTTTCATATTGTCTATTTGATGAAACAGTTCAACCTATTATTGAAATACTGATATTTGACTGTAGAATATCAATAAGATTTTGACTCCCACTAAACTTTTGCGATGGTTATGAAGCGTATGTAAAGAATGTAAACATACATGCTTAAATACCATTCCTGATGCCAGTGTTCGGTTCGGGGTGTCGTAGCTTCCTTCTCGTACCTCAAATGCTATTCCCTGGTTTCTCCATTTCCTGTACTCATGAGAGTTGATGATGTCAGCCTAGTTAGATATATTAAGTATTAAATTTGAATTATAGTTAGAAAAAACATATAAATACCCAATAATGATATCTGTTTACAGTGACAAGAGCTGTGACAGACCAGCAGTACATAAATACATTATAATGATATATGTTAACAGTGACAAGAGCTGTGACAGACCAGCAGTGCATAAATACATTATAATGACATCTGTTAACAGTGACAAGAGCTGTGACAGACCAGCAGTGCATAAATACATTATAATGATATCTGTTTACAGTGACAAGAGCTGTGACAGACCAGCAGTGCATAAATACATTATAATGATATCTGTTAACAGTGACAAGAGCTGTGACAGACCAGCAGTACATAAATACATTATAATGATATATGTTAACAGTGACAAGAGCCTTAGGAACCTCAGTCAACATTCAAAACCACATAAAAATATACCATAACCTCAGTCAACATTCAAAACCACATAAAAATACACCATAACCTCAGTCAACATTCAAAACCACATAAAAATACACCATAACCTCAGTCAACATTCAAAACCACATAAAAATACACCATAACCTCAGTCAACATTCAAAACCACATAAAAATACACCATAACCTCAGTCAACATTCAAAACAACACAAAAATACACCATAACCTCAGTCAACATTCAAAACCACATAAAAATACACCATAACCTCAGTCAACATTCAAAACCACATAAAAATACACCATAACCTCAGTCAACATTCAAAACCACATAAAATACACCATAACCTCAGTCAACATTCAAAACCACATAAAAATACACCATAACCTCAGTCAACATTCAAAACCACATAAAAATACACCATAAACTCAGTCAACATTCAAAACCACATAAAAATACACCATAAACTCAGTCAACATTCAAAACCACATAAAAATACACCATAACCTCAGTCAACATTCAAAACCACATAAAAATACACCTTAGACTCACTCATCATTCAAAACCACACAAAGATATATATTCTGAATCCTTGTACTTACATCTCTGTAGACTAACTTCATGTTGAGATCCCAGTCAAAAATATTGAGTCTGTTGTCATATCGGGTTCCCATTAACTGACGAAGTCTCAAGTCCCTGAATTTAAGCAATTAATGATCAAATGTTTTCTTTGTTATCTTTTTGTTGTGGTATGTCATCTTTTAAATAGTTGGAGAAGACAAAACAAACAAAAAATCAAAAAGAAAAGAAATAAACAAACAAAACAAAAACAAATTTGCAAAAAGAAAAAAAAAAGGTAGATTTCGCAATTTACTTTGTTATTTGGATCTAAATCTGTCTTTTTAATGACAATTAAATTCAATCAATATTTGATCATCTGTGTATCTTACCAAACTTTCTCTGCATCAAAGAATTTAGTATCAGAAAGTCTCCACACTTTGAAAATACTCTCTAGGAAATCACGCTCTTTGTACTGAAACAGACACCAAATTATAAGACTCAATTGTACAACTACTGCTAAGCTATTCTAGTATTATGCTGACTACATAAAAAACGCAACAGGTTTAATCATTACTAGAAAATATTTACATCCAAACACTCTTTAGAAAATGATTTCTAATCTTATATCTATTTGAACCAGCAATATGAAAAGGTTGGAATTAACTTCCATTAATAAAAAGCCTCACCTTTAGCTGTGATAAATCAAAGATGGGAAGTTTTTTTTCTAAGTAATCAAAGTCAGTAACCATTCTGAAACAAAAAGCAAAAATTGATAAAAGCTGGTGTTCTTCAAGCTCATGCTATACAATAAGACAGATACTTGGTCCCCAAACAATGTGGACATGAAGTAATAACACAATGTTAATTTGTAGATAAAAGAAATCAATATTAAAGAGATTTCAGTTTCTCATATGTTATTTACCCTAAAGCTAAAATAGGAAAGTAATCATTATTAATAAGAAGAAAAATCTTAATAGTTGCAAAATTTCTTTATAACTTCATTAACATTTTCCAAAAATTTCTCCAATCTAATATATGTTTTTTAAAATCTCCAAATCCCTAATTCAAATACTTAAATCCAGTTTCCTAGATTTCAGTAATGTTTTTTTAATGATCTCTTTTACTACAGACATGTTCCCCAATTTCCAGACACATTCCCGATAGTTCTCTTAACTCCTTCACTCCAGACAACTCTCATCACTCCAGTAATGTTCCTTTACCTCTAGACATATTCCAATAATGCCTCCATAGTTCTAATGTTATCTTACTGAGAACCTCAACTCAAGAAATTTCTGTTCATTTAAGAATGTTCTTTCAAACATTAAAACTCATAATTCATCAAACCAAAGACAAAAAATAAGACAACAAAAAAGAAAAATGTAGTACATTATATTGCATGTAGTATGAATTCTGTATTTACTTACAATACAATTGATTGTATTTTAAAATTTTTTTACCAAAATAGCAATTCTTTATTATTCATTGAATAATAATAAGTTGAAATTCGTGTATCTGAAAAGGAATTTAAGATCAATTGTGAACTGTAAACTAGGTTAAGAAAAACACTGATTCATGGTCATGGTGTACATACTTTATAAACTCTGTTGCCATTTTCTCCACATATTCACAGGACTGTTTCCGCACAAGAAGGTTTCCAAATAACTCAAGAAACAGCTCTGTCTTTTCTACAAAATAAAGGAATGTTACATTATTATCAATCATAAATAAATTTTGTCTTTTGCTAAAGACATCGAAAATTATCTTTCAAGAACAATGTTGTCAACTTTGATAGTTTCTGAAACAATGGGTGGGAAAAGTTGCTTTTACACGATGACAGTCTGTCAAGGTGGCTCACTTTGACCTGCCATAAAACATTTCATGTCTATTTGTTGTTGGATTAGCTTAAAAGCATTTGTATATTTCTTAACTCCACTTATGATATGATGACCTTAAGAACAAATTTGAAGTTTTAACATAAAAAAGTATTAATGATTAAACTTATTTCAAAATATCAAAATCTTTTGACTGACAATAAGATTGTCATGTGTATTTATTTATTTTTTTATTTAAAAACAAAATCAATTAATGGTGCTTGTCATAATGATTATGATTATTCTTATGAATAAAACACTCCAGTAGCTGCTGGAGGAAAAATGGGTGAGAGATGCAGCAAGCTAGGAGCTTGTGAACTCCAGTTCATTAATCAGGTGAGTTAAAAAATATGGTGCACAAATGACACTGAACAAGCCATGTAGGTATTATGTCAACCTTCACAGATACAGTTAAGTTTTGGGCTGGATTAAGTCATCTCGGTATTTCACTCACCTTGTAAACCCATCCTTTTTTGAGTTTCTAATGCAATGGTCATAAACAGTATATCTCTGGCATACAGTTCCAGGTTATTTTCAATTATGTAGAACTGTAAAGTAGACATACATAATCATTTGATTTAGAAATGCCTTCTCATTATCTTCAGAGACAGAAAAATAAATTCTTTGATTAAATGGTGCATTTTACATTATGAAACCATTTTGACCAAATATAAATTTTGTTCAACTAACTTTGACTATGGCAGTGCACAGATCAATCATGCATGGAAACTAATTCATTTGGTCACATTTAACAACATATTTCAGAAGGGTCAGTTTGGCTGCAATCATCAAATAATCTTTTTTCATTCTTTTTTCCCAAAATTTGCAAGAAACTCCTTCAAACCCTATTCTGTTAAAGAATCCATCTGTTCCTTACATGGAGTTTCCTCTTTCTGTGACGGTAAGATCTTGCCATGGTAGTAAGCAGATGTCTCATGTCTCCAGCCCCCACCAGAAGGATCCGCAACTCTTCTACAAAATTCAATACTACCTGTATCTAAACTATAACAGCCAAGGGGGACATCATATTTACTCAAAATAACAGGCCCACAGGTGTAACACATTAACTCAAAGAAACAGGCCCACAGGGGCAATACATTAACTCAAAGTAACAGGCCCACAGGGGCAACTCATTACTTCAAAATCATTGGCCGAGGAAGGCAACTCATTGACTCAAAATCATTGACCATTTAAGACTAACAGAGACAACACATTGACTCAACGTCATAGGCCCTACAGGCAACCCATTGACTCAAATTCATGGGGAAAGGAAATGAACTACATTTATTGGTAATTCAAACGATGAGTAATATATATGAGTGGGCTTATTGTCAAACAAATATGGTCAGGATACAGATGAACTATTAGTTATTAAGATTTACTCACAAGTTACTCACTATGAGGGACAGATTCAGGTCCAGAACCTCGAAAAATGACTTTTATCTGCTACCAAAATCAACTTCAAATCAAACATTGTGGTAAAATAAGGACATGTTTAAGAGTTCATTTACTAACATCCATATTCGTTGCAAAAGATCTGTGCATTTTCTAAGAGAAAAAAATTACCTGGTCCATCATCTTTGTCCAGTCTCAGTCCCTTTAGAGCTGATAGGAAGTCTACAAAAATAACACCATAACTTAGAGTGGAAATCTGGGTAAAATGCTATGTGTTTACATTGTTTTATAGTGGAAATCTGGGTAAAATGCTATGTGTTTACATTGTTTTATAGTGGAAATCTGGGTAAAATGCTATGCGTTTACATTGTTTAGAAATTATAATGTAAACTGCTTATATGCTTTCAATGCAATATTAGGGAATGAAATGTGCAAATATCCTCAGAGAAAGCATACCGGTGTCCTGAAGATCAAGTGCTGGACTAAAACCCCACCAAGTGATTGTACCAAAGCCGTCCGTCATCTTTAAATCACTTTCTTCGAGAACGTAGATATCACGAATCAAAACAAGTTTTTGCTTGCTAGTACACGTGAATTTCTGGCCGAGTAACGCCAATCACCATTTGTAAACAAAGTAACGCCGCACTGAATGGTATTTTATTTAAGTTTGTATGGATATTTACGACGCGATAAGAGATATAGTACTTAAAATTAAAAGTTTAAATTAATTTAAATCTCATCCTTTATAAAATGTTTCTATTGAATACAAATATGTTTTTGATGTAATTCACTGCGTAGCTGCAATATGTCTGCGACCATTTGAACTATACGCGCTAAATTGCACCGAGGGTATCGTACCAGAGACATGTGGTAAAAATGGCAAATGCAGCGGCACTAAAAGTGTAAGAAGTGTTTGAAGTACTTTGAACAATAAAAATCTTTGTTGTTTTGAGAAAAAATCCATTCATGGACCGATATGCTACACTGGCAAACAAAAAATTGTGAAACTATGTTACCTTAGGATGTTCTATGGACGCTGGTCTATTCGACCACTATATCCGCATCAAATTAATCAGTTTCGTCATTATCCACTGTGGGTGAAGCTGAATTTCCTCACATTTGTGTTGTAGCACAGTTTTTGTACTTTAAGATTGTGTCCCCTTGTGGATGTACTTTTTGTTTAGGGGTAGAATTCATCAGTTACTTTTTTTTGTCGTATATACCATTCGTGGTCTTAAACATTTCTGTCATGTCACCTCTTAAAAGTCTATATTTCAATTTTGGCATCTTTAGTTTCTTCAATCTATCGCTATAATTCATGTCTTTGTAGATTCCATGTCCTGCTTTTTGTATGGTGACCACACTGCCTGAGCTTACTCTAAATTAGGTCTTACTAGTTAGTGCCTGGAATAAATATCTAATACTAACCTCTTTCAAAACATGGTTTCCAAAGTTGAGATGGTTATGAACTAAACACACCAATGTCTTTTTCACCCTCCAATTTTTCCAAATCTACTTCTTCACAATTTTGATAGTATAAATGTTACTTATACTCTTCTTTGGGATATTTCCGTGTGCCAATTGTCATCATTTTGCACTTTTTTCGGTGAAACTTCGGCAGTCAAGTATCTGACCATTTCTGCAGCATATCTAAATCCTCCTGCAACTTCCCAGCATCTTCCAAATTTGCAATCCTTGAATATCTTTGTATCATCAGCAGATAAATATGTTGGTGCATTTACACGATCTTGAATGTCATTGATGTATAAGACAAAAAGGATCAGACCAAGTACGCTCCCCTGAGGAATTCCTCTTGTAAAACAGTGTTTTTTGGACTCTGATCCAATGGCATTGACTTTTTGTGTTCTGTCGCCGAGGAAATTTTCTATTCATACAATTGTCTTGTGACCAATACCATATGCTGACAACTTCTTTATAAGTCTTCTATGTGGAACCTTATCAAAGGCTTTCATGTTGTCTACTTTTTTACATCAAAAACCAAACCAAATGGCAACAACTCTTAGCATTTATGTAGTTGATATGACCACATAAGACATTCTTATTTATAAAATTCTCAAAAATGCATGACATGAGAGATATTTATAATGACTTTAAATCATCTTCAAATTAAAGATATCTTTTAACGAATTAAAAATCAAGCATTCCATATCAATCATTTTACATTCAGCATTTGCATTTAATATTTGACATAAAACATAAAGAAGTTTATACCTGTGTTTGATTCTAATGTGTCTGTCCATTTAGAAATGTATTTCATGTTTTGGTCAATCTATTGTGAATTTGCCATTTTGTGTGATTATTTTTAAAAAAACTTTTTACATCCTACCTGTACACAAATAAAAATCCATTGTAACAAGATGATGCATTGGATGTTTCCCAATCTGGTAAGCAGGTCAGACTTGTGTCAATTTCTTGTATCATAGCTATATATCACAATAATACAATATAGCTATTCATAGTTATAACAAACAGCATCTAACCATAATGCAATCTGTTTTGATAGGAAGTAATTGAGTAATCCAAATAGACAATTTCCAAACTTTTTTGAAACAATTAATTGCAGCATGATCTGATGTTGTTATATTGTTTTTGGTGAGTTTGAGTTGCTGTGAATTACTATTAAATCAATATATAACAATTAAATGATCACATACTCATTCTGATATATAAGAGAAATCTCCAATGCATGAGGTTGTTACCATAATACTAATTATACTAATATTGTTGCTTTATCAAGTTTTAAAGAATGATTTTGTTTTTCTTTGTTATTTCTACAGTTTACTATTTTCACCAGGTTTCTGTCAAATCTCTCTTTGTACTTTATCAGTTGAAAGCAATATGAAAGTTGTCTACAATTTGATGATAATTAAGTTTATTTGCATATTAAGTCTTTGTGTTTCATTTTGCAGACTTGTTAGTGGAGATGTGGATGGAAACTTTGATCAGCTTTTCTCCAGGATAAGAAGCATCCAAAAAAAAAGTGGAAGTTTTGATGTAGGTGAAAATCCAAACTTAATTATAAAACTAGGAGAGCTATGGCCCTTTGTTCTCATTTCTGAATTTTGAAGTATTTAAATGAAATACAGAATTTTTGATGTGTTGTAAATTTTTAGGTGGATCAAATAACAATGTTATTTTATTTATTAGTCTTTATAAGTGATTGTCTGTAATGTGTGTATTGAGAAAATGTATTCAATTGTTTGCCATACGCATTTCAGCTGCACATTGCAACCTTCTTTGCAATGAGATATTCCCCTGTGGCTGGGCTTGTCCTTGTCTTCTCTAGACAGGGCTTGTCGATTGCTGTAGTACTGTACTGACAGCTTTATGTACCTATCACATCAATCCATCATAGTGTCTGTTAATACTTCATTTTTCCCCCCAAGGGTTTTTATTTTTAGGATCGTAAAACTTTCTAAATTAAATCAGTTCAGTGGTATATTGTAAGCATTGATCTTATCTTTACAGCTTCTGTTATGTGTAGGGAATTTCTTTGGCAAAGATGAGAGCAACTGGAAGCCATATCTAGCTGGAGAGAAAAAAGGTGATGTTCCAGTCATAATCTGACAAATAATCATGGAAGGAATGCTTTGTTGTTTTTACCTGTGTTTTAAACAGTTTATTTCTTAAAGTCCTTGTGCTCACTAAGTCTCCATCCTTAAATAATTGTGTTTGTGTTACTGAATTTATTTTATTAACCTCGTGACCCTACATTACTACAATAAAGTAGCTTTAGATGATAGACAGACAATTCCTGATAGAAGGTTGTCAGAGGGAGAGGGGGGAAGGCTGGATATGAATATTCATTTTAGGGCCTGTGTCCATTAAAACATTATACACCACGACTTGCCATAAGAAAAGCGTATTTGTATTAAAAAATGTGATTCATTGATTCAGTAGACCCTTTCAGTCAATTAATCAATAAAGATAATTTAGAACACTGCCAACACTATATTTGATAAAATCAGTATTTCACTGAGATGAACAGATAAAATTTGATTTTTCTGTTAGAATACTTTAGGAACGGTGGTATTTTTGTTTCAGTACCTATAAGTACCCTGATATTGGGCCCTAACCAACAGGAACATGTCAGGTTCTACCGTGGGAAGGATGGTGCTGAGCTGTGTGACAATGTTACTTACCTTGGTATGTCAGCCAGAATCCAGTCCAGTTTTTTATTCTGAAGAAGCAATGAAATAACAAAGTCTACATTTTAAATTGAAAATACTGGTCATATTGATGTTGCTATTGTAGTTGGGAAATATGCATACTTGTATTGTTAAAACAAGCAATATTAGAGAGCAAGGTGTAATTATTAAGTGTGCCAGGTAAATACTTTAATTAGATAAAATATGGAGTCAGCCAAACATTGCAATATTCTTGAAGATATTGTTGTGGTTGTCATCATCATCGTAGTACATCATCATTTCCACTATCAGTATTTCCTCCTCCTCTTCCTCACTAATAACAGATAACAACCATGATTATCACAGAATAATTTATGAATTATTTTTGAAATCTTAAAACTATAAGATTATTTCAATATATGACATATACAATGTGTATTATGGTTCTTTTCCATTTCACAGGCAAGAAAGGAATGTTTACAGGATCATCAGGGTTACAACTTGCTTACCTTAGTGGTCTAGAGAGTTCCAGTGACAAGGGAGATGATACACATTTTTGTAACAAAGATATCTCATCTCTTACCCTACCAGTCATATCAGACTCCAAATTTAAAGGAGTGGACATCTTGATGACATCACAGTGGCCCAGAGCTGTTGACAAATATGGCATAAAAATGGTAAAATGATTTAAATTCTCAGAAATATTTACCTTTGTTAGGAATGGATTCACCTACTGCTCTGCTTTCTTTTGATGTTTTTATGTCAGGCCTGAGCCTGTTGAAATCTAGTCAACAAAACTGATAAGAACAGATGTGCAGTATTAGTCCCAAATTTTCTTCTAAGTATAATGTCAGCTCAATCCATTTGATTAGCTTGAAGAATTGATATGCACATGTTTATATTTTTTGTTGTGGGTCACTTCTATTTACACACAAAAATAACATGATATCAATATACCTTAATAACAAGCTGTCAGAAAGTAAAGTTTTAAAATGTAGCATTTATATCATAGGATTTTCTTTTGTAAAGTGTTGGGAGATTGAGTTTTAAAAGGTGTTGAGATAAGATCATGAAGCAAGATTTATTTGTCAAATATATTTAGAGAAGCATTTGAAAAAGCCTTTGTTCTAGGTGTTTTATTTGTAACTCTGATAATTTTCACTTGTAGTAAGAATTATAAATTTCATGAAAGGTCTAAATACCCTTTGTTTGATGTCTCATTTAAACTTTAGTCACAGAATCAAATCAATGTTGTTTTTCCCTGATAAATAATATGACAATTAAAAGAGACTTGAATTTGCATCAAACAAAGTTTAATGTTAAATAAAAGAAAAAATTAGAGATGTTTATTGAACAAACAATGGGGATTTCTGCTAAAAACAGAAAATAATACCTGTAAAAAGTTTTTGGGCAAAGCACAAGTGACCTGCAACTTGCATTCAATGATTTTCAGGATTCATTGGACACATCATCGTGTGGGTCTGAATCTGTATCACAATTAGCTATCCATCTCAAACCACGCTATCATTTTGCTGGACTGGAAGGAGAATTTTATGAACGACAACCATACAGGTTTGTTAAAAAAGCATAATATAGATAAACCATTTATAGGGCCTGAAAGTCAATTTAATAAGGTACACGGTGCTATATCTTTGTTCTGTAATAAGCCCACCCCTACCTAAATGAGTCACAGGTAATGTTTAGGCCTCTTGGGCTTATAGCAGACTTTCGTTGAAAATGGTACAGTGGAAATTCTCCAAACCAACTATGCATGGGACATGAAGTTGATTGGTCTAGACTTGGATATAATTGAACCGATTCTGTTGTGTATCTTACATTAACCATTCCGTTTGCTTTCGACATTTACACTGCACATGTCAAACGGAATACGGAGAAAAAAGTTTTATAGAGTTAAAATATTGTGGTAAAGTGTAAAATCAGTGATACTTGTATTCTGTATGTGGCTTTAGTTGAAAAGAAACCAATAAATCTATGCATTGCCTGGTAATGTAACGTTACATACAGCCTGACGTAGCCTGGGTCAGATGGTCAGCTTTTCCAATAGTGTTACCAACCAATATATTTAATAAATATAGGTTATTATTGATACTTTAAAAGCTTATCTTCTAGACTCCATTAATATTTCCATGCTGTATGTGTTAAGATAACATTCAATTACTCACAATTTAGATGTGACACTGCGGCTCTCTAACTCGGCATCAGTACTTACATGTATTTTCAATTTATCTGTTTCTCACTTCATTGAAACAATGGACTCGTTTGATGTGGTCTCAAATTGATATTGGAAATAACTATACATTATGTTTTTTGTAATCCTCCCTATCAGACTAGGTATTATGTGCAAAGCCTACTCACGACAGGCATATGTGCCAGGGATGTAAAGCTTACAAATTTCACAGGTGTTGATTTCACAGCCTGGTTGAATATTGGGTCTTGATGGTTCAGTTAAGGCTGGTTTTCAGAAGTGATTTTCGGTAGATTTAAGTCATTTCGAACACAACATTGGTTTGGTATTTGGAATTGAAAAGGGTCAGTATTGGGAAGTATTTTATAACTATAAAAATGAGGATGTCATTCTGTACGTTGCCATTTTGTTTGGTTTCAAGAGGTGATTGGTTTTGAGAAGGTTCGGTTAGGGGAAGTTGCACTGTATGTGATCAGTTCAAACTATTCATGTGTGTTAATTATTTATCATATGATTGCCTTGTTATCCAGAGAATATCACCCTTATCATGGTTTTGTAATATTATGCATTTGTAATACAGCTTATTGTGACATCACTTTAGATAATGAAATAATGTCACACATTTACAGATGATAATTTAGCTTATTGTGTCATCACTTTAGATAATGAAAAAATGTCACACATTTTATGGATGGCATTATGACATAACAGTGAAGACATCATAGATATAGACTACACATGATATTAAGTTTGACACAGAAATGTCATTTTTTTTATCGTATTTGCCTGAATAATTGATGATGTGATAAAAAGGAATCTTAATTTCTTTCCATTTGATAAAGGATTTTAAATTTTTTTGGCTCACAAATGGATTGCTTAATGAAACATTCCCAAGACTTGTTCCAGAATTTAAATATTAGATAGGAACTCATGTGAGATGCTGTATATATTTCTCAGAAACTTACTGTGTTAGATAATTCAGCGATATTCACACAGAAACTAGATATTTTACTATTGAAATGTATTATGCTATACTGTAACAGTATATAATGCTGAAAATTAATATTTTATGATCTATAATTTAGAAATCATAAAGTTTTGGCAGATAAGGAAAAACATGTCACAAGATTCATAGGGTTGGCAAACACAAGTAACAAGGAAAAGAAAAAGGTAAGTTTTTTTTTTCAGAAGTATTGTTAAAATGATAATCCCAAGTGAAACAGCTTGACTTCTGTTCCTTTATTAACTTTGGTGGTGCAGTTTATTTTGTTTGGTAGATAGCAGTATGGCAATAACAGGAATACCAATATAACTTACCAAACAGCTGGTTTTTTGTTCCTTCACATGTCATTGATATGTTCAGTGCGATAAATTCAGACCACTATAATATAACTGAAAATGATTTTTTCAATGGAGAAAACTCACACGGAAATTAAAAATTGTGAAATAAAATTAGATTGCACTGATAATTTTAAATGTTTTGGAACAGTTTATCTATGCCTTCAACATCACACCTCTTAGTGTCATGGAAATGTCAGAACTGACCAAACAGCCACCTGATGTCACAGAATGTCCGTATAAACTGACTATGTCCAAGCAAGCTCTACAGAATCAGGTACTTGTCACACTTTTGTCTATAATTTAATATCTGTGTTACTTGTCATCGAAAGACCTTTATAAAAACTGAAACATACTGCTTGATTTTCACTAAATTGATGTCCACGGGTACAAATGGATAAAATCTGTATTATATCATAAAGGTTTCTTATCCTGTAACAAATTACAGGCTGCAAAAATAAATTATTTATGTGATGTTCTGATTACAGACTGAAGAAAAGTCTGCTCAGTTTTTCTACGATATGACAGAGAAAAAGAACTCTAGAAAGAGACATCATGATGGTGGTGGTCCCGAGAGGAAGCACCAGAAAAAACATCGTAAGTGTTTGACAGATTGTTCCCATCTGTTGATAGAAAAATCAGAGAAAATGAAATATTGCTCTACAGTTAGTGTGGAATCTATGTACCCTTTCTTTCATTGAATTTCCTATACACATACTGATTAAACAATTAAATTGTTAATGGAGAAATAATCAACGGATTGTGTGGCTTTTTATCTGACACAGTAACTAGTGGAGTACAGATTGTGTGGCCTTTTATCTGACACAGTAACTAGTGGAGTACAGATTGTGTGGCCTTTTATCTGACACTGTAACTAGTGGAGTACACACAGATTGTGTGGCTTTTTATCTGACACAGTAACTAGTGGAGTACAGATTGCGTGGCCTTTTATCTGACACTGTAACTAATGGAGTACACACAGATTGTGTGGCCTTTTATCTGACACTGTAACTAGTGGAGTACACACAGATTGTGTGGCTTTTTATCTGACACTGTAACTAGTGGAGTACAGATTGTGTGGCCTTTTATCTGACACTGTAACTAGTGGAGTACACACAGATTTTGTGGCTTTTTATCTGACACAGTAACTAGTGGAGTACAGATTGTGTGGCCTTTTATCTGACACTGTAACTAGTGGAGTACACACAGATTGTGTGGCTTTTTATCTAACACTGTAACTAGTGGAGTACACACAGATTGTGTGGCTTTTTATCTGACACTGTAACTAGTGGAGTACAGATTGTGTGGCCTTTTATCTGACACTGTAACTAGTGGAGTACACACAGATTGTGTGGCTTTTTATCTAACACTGTAACTAGTGGAGTACACACAGATTGTGTGGCTTTTTATCTGACACTGTAACTAGTGGAGTACAGATTGTGTGGCCTTTTATCTGACACTGTAACTAGTGGAGTACACACAGATTGTGTGGCTTTTTATCTAACACTGTAACTAGTGGAGTACACACAGATTGTGTGGCTTTTTATCTGACACTGTAACTAGTGGAGTACAGATTGTGTGGCCTTTTATCTGACACTGTAACTAGTGGAGTACACACAGATTGTGTGGCTTTTTATCTAACACTGTAACTAGTGGAGTACACACAGATTGTGTTGCTTTTTATCTGACACTGTAACTAGTGGAGTACGGATTGTGTGGCTTTTTATCTGACACTGTAACTAGTGGAGTACAGATTGTGTGGCCTTTTATCTGACACTGTAACTAGTGGAGTACACACAGATTGTGTGGCTTTTTATCTAACACTGTAACTAGTGGAGTACACACAGATTGTGTGGCTTTTTATCTGACACTGTAACTAGTGGAGTACAGATTGTGTGGCTTTTTATCTGACACTGTAACTAGTGGAGTACACACAGATTGTGTGGCTTTTTATCTAACACTGTAACTAGTGGAGTACACACAGATTGTGTTGCTTTTTATCTGACACTGTAACTAGTGGAGTACGGATTGTGTGGCTTTTTATCTGACACTGTAACTAGTGGAGTACACACAGATTGTGTGGCTTTTTATCTGACACTGTAACTAGTGGAGTACACACAGATTGTGTGGCTTTTTATCTAACACTGTAACTAGTGGAGTACAGATTGTGTGGCCTTTTATCTGACACTGTAACTAGTGGAGTACACACAGATTGTGTGGCTTTTTATCTAACACTGTAACTGGTGGGGTACACACAGATTGTGTGGCTTTTTATCTGACACTGTAACTAGTGGAGTACACACAGATTGTGTGGCTTTTTATCTAACACTGTAACTAGTGGAGTACACACAGATTGTGTGGCCTTTTATCTGACACTGTAACTAGTGGAGTACACACAGATTTTGTGGCTTTTTATCTAACACTGTAACTAGTGGAGTACACACAGATTGTGTTGCTTTTTATCTGACACTGTAACTAGTGGAGTACACACAGATTGTCTGGCCTTTTATCTGACACTGTAACTGGTGGGGTACACACAGATTGTGTGACTTTTTATCTGACACTGTAACTAGTGAAGTAATGATAAGGCAGTGTGGTAAGATCAATGTGACAATAGAGAATAAAAAAAGAAAGAAACAGACTTGAGAAAGATACCAAATGTTGTCATCTAGTTAAGACTTCTAAATTTTGTGAAATGGAAACTGTACTGTTAATTGTGATGTGGACTGTAATGTGAGAATATTACAATCATATGTTGAATGATTGTACCCTTTTTTTTTATAAGAACCAGTAAAAATAGGTGGAGAAATGTTCTTGTGTTACAGCTCAGCCCACTGGTCCGTGTTGGTTCTGTCTGGGCAGTCCGGAGGTGGAAAAACACCTTGTGGTCAGTGTTGGAGATCATGTAAGTAATGATCATGGTATATCATTACACCATTTGGTGGTCAGATAGATGTTGTCAGTGTGTATCATAGTAAACCACTTGATCAATATATCATGCCAGTAATGTGGGTTATTTAAGGTGAACATTATTTCTCTCTCTTTAAAGCAACCAGTCTGGCAGTCACCTGTCCTAAATTGTTGGGCAACCCTATGTGTTTAACTGTGTGATACTGTAATTCTCTAAACAAATGAATCTATACTTTACTGGTGACTGACCACTCTGTCTCAACTCTAGGGCTGTGATGGAGTGATTCCTCTGTCCTAATAATTGAATGATGTCATGGCAACAGTTGTACACACATACCAATATTGTCAAATGTACACACATACCAACATTGTCAGATGTACACACATACCAACATTGTCAGATGTACACACATACCAACATTGTCAGATGTACACACATACCAACATTGTCAGATGTACACACATACCAACATTGTCAGATGTACACAAATACCAACATTGTCAGATGTACACACATACCAACATTGTCAGATGTACACAAATACCAACATTGTCAGATGTACACAAATACCAACATTGTCAGATGTACACAAATACCAACATTGTCAGATGTACACAAATACCAACATTGTCAGATGTACACACATACCAACATTGTCAGATGTACACACATACCAACATTGTCAGATGTACACACATACCAACATTGTCAGATGTACACACATACCAACATTGTCAGATGTACACACATACCAACATTGTCAGATGTACACACATACCAACATTGTCAGATGTACACACATACCAACATTGTCAGATGTACACACAATACCAACACATTGTCAGATGTACACACATACCAACATTGTCAGATGTACACACATACCAACATTGTCAGATGTACACACATACCAACATTGTCAGATGTACACACATACCAACATTGTCAGATGTACACACATACCAACATTGTCAGATGTACACACATACCAACATTGTCAGATGTACACACATACCAACATTGTCAGATGTACACACATACCAACATTGTCAGATGTACACACATACCAACATTGTCAGATGTACACAAAAACCAACATTGTCAGATGTACACACATACCAACATTGTCAGATGTACACACATACCAACATTGTCAGATGTACACACATACCAACATTGTCAGATGTACACACATACCAACATTGTCAGATGTACACAAAAACCAACTTTGTTAGTCAATATCAATCAATCTGTCACCAATTAAATTGATCTATCAGATGAGATTGGATTTTAAGGAACAGGTCCTTACCTCTATTTCACTGTTACAGAATTACCTCGCACTGGCTAAAGGAGGATTGGTAGATGACCACATATTGATACTGCCCATTGGTCATCACCAGTCCACTGTGCTAGCTCCGTCAGAGGTTGTAGATGAGATAGATCGGTAAGTAATTAGAGTCTTACAGGTGCTTCCTTTCATGTCCCCGCTATATTTTGGCAGGGTAGGTAGGTTTACCCATACCTGTCCATGCTATCACATCTCAGATTAAATCATCATCACATCTCACATCCCCTCATCATATTTACCCCATATTATCCCTATTATATATCATGTTCTCCACCAAATCATGTTGTAATTGTCATTTGTCAAGGTTATAGGGTCAAAAGTCACATTTGGCAAATTATGCAAGTTCACCAAGCAATGATATTTACTGGTGCATGTTATATGGATTGGAGTGTAGGCACTCATGTCTTTTAGACATTTTCTCAGTTGTAATACTGATAAGTCCTGATTTTGGGAAAACTTATTTTGAAAATTCAAAAACTATCTTATTTCTTATATCTTTCATCATTTAATTATGATGTTATTAATTTGTTTGGTTGGATTTATGATATGTAAATATAGAAAAGCAGAGAAAACAAACTTTACAAATTCAATGTGATGTCTGAATTCTACTTCCTTAGTAACAGTTACAAAAGCATTATGAAACTGAGTATAATTTTCAGCAGAGAAAAATCTCGAAGGAGAGAAAATTCCCAAAGAAGTTATAAACAGAAATGTTTTTATTACTTCATCTACAAGATTCACAGAGTTGCCCTCTTTTCTCTTTTTAAAAGATTATTATAATTAACAAGTTATATGATAAGAAACAAGACAACATATTAATCTGTCATATTGTTTTACTGTCCATCCAAGATGAAACACACCATCATAAGTTATGTATACTTTTTCCAGGTACAAGACCGCTCTAAAGAAATGTTACAAATCTATGGGAAAAGCCGTAGTTTTCTTTGAGAGAAATTACAGGACGCAGCACCTCCAGATCCAGGTTTGTGTTGAAAACCAAAATGTAATGATAAGATAACCACTGATGGTAATGTCAGAATTATAATATCTGGATATCAGGGATATAGCAGTTTTCACTATACAATCAGGTACACAGCAGGGATATAGCAGTTTTCACTATTCCATCAGACACACAGCAGGGATATAGCAGTTTTCACTATTCCATCAGACACACAGCAGCGATATATCAGTTTTCACTATTCCATCAGACACACAGCAGGTATATAGCAGTTTTCACTATACCATCAGACACACAGCAGGGATATAGCAGTTTTCACTATACCATCAGACACACAGCAGGGATATAGCAGTTTTCACTATACCATCAGACACACAGCAGGGATATAGCAGTTTTCACTATTCCATCAGACACACAGCAGGGATATAGCAGTTTTCACTATACCATCAGACACACAGCAGGGATATAGCAGTTTTCACTATTCCATCAGACACACAGCAGGGATATAGCAGTTTTCACTATACCATCAGACACACAGCAGGGATATAGCAGTTTTCACTATTCCATCAGACACACAGCAGGTATATAGCAGTTTTCACTATACCATCAGACACACAGCAGGGATATAGCAGTTTTCACTATACCATCAGACACACAGCAGGGATATAGCAGTTTTCACTATACCATCAGACACACAACAGGGATATAGCAGTTTTCACTATACCATCAGACACACAACAGGGATATAGCAGTTTTCACTATACCATCAGACACACAACAGGGATACAGTAGTTTTCACTATTCCATCAGACACACAGCAGGGATATAGCAGTTTTCACTATACCATCAGACACACAGCAGGGATATAGCAGTTTTCACTATACCATCAGACACACAGCAGGGATATAGCAGTTTTCACTATACCATCAGACACACAGCAGGGATATAGTAGTTTTCACTATACCATCAGACACACAGCAGGGATATAGCAGTTTTCACTATACCATCAGACACACAGCAGGGATATAGCAGTTTTCACTAAACATAGATCAGACCAAAAACGACATTGTCGGAGATCACAGTCTACACTTCCACACAAATCAGGCCATAAGTGACATTGTCAGAGATCACAGCCATCACTTTAACCTCCACACTAATCAGACCATTAGTGACATTGTCATTGCTCTCATATTGTTTCAGGTTGTACCTGTACCAATGGATTGTGTCTGTGAAATTAAAGAGGCCTTCATGGATTGTTCCCAGTCAGAGGGATTTGAACTGCACGAGATCCCCAAACATTCTGATTTAAAACAGGTATACAACAAGAATAAAAGTGTTGGAGAACTTAACATAAGTTATATGGTGTTGTTAATAATATAATGAGGTCTGTTACTGTTTAGTAATATATTTCATCAGTGAACTCCATCTGTTATCAATGTGATAACACCCATTACATACTTTTTTTATTCTACATTTGTAATATGACCTAATGGAACTTTGATTGGTTGAATGTTTCCATGGTATCCGCAGTGATGTCATAACCTCATGTTGTCACATGCCTTGCGGTGTCAACTAAAAAGAAATATAGAATGAGGATATCAACAATATAGATTTTATATCAGTCTAATAGAACGCTGTTTTAATTAATATTGGTAAAAGTTATGAGATAAACAAAATCTTACACTAGTTTCTATTTCATAGGTCTATGAAACTTGTCATGACTTTTTGATTTTATCTCACTGGAGACTCATCATAAGACTTTTTTCTGTAATCTTATATGGTTGAAAATTCATGATCTTCTGTATATCTGACCACACCCCTGTATCATCAAATGTATGCATTTCCTCCCATACATTTATCTGTTTAAACTGCTTTATTTCATGGTCACAGATAAGTGTTTCTAGTTATACTTTACTGTATTATTTCTCTGCTAACAGATTGTACCACCCGGAGCTCCATACTTTTATGCAGAATTGCCGTCAGGAGACAAACTTTTACATAGGATATCAAAAAACTTTCCTCTCCAGTTTGGCAGGTAATAAATATAGTATTTGTTTTGACTTATGATCAAAAGGTAACTCAGAAACAGTAACTCTTTTGAACTCACCTTTTTGATGAGGAGGGAAAGCTAATCTTTTGATATAAAGATTTGGTGCAAGTGTTGACAGGTTTGGTGAAAGTGTTGACAGGTTTGGTGAAAGTGTTGAAAGATTTGGTGAAAGTGTTGAAAGATTTGGTGCAAGTGTTGAAAGATTTGGTGAAAGTGTTGAAAGATTTGGTGAAAGTGTTGAAAGATTTGGTGAAAGTGTTGACAGACATCAGGATATTACTTCATGGTTGTACTAGAGCACTGATACTTGGTATCAGGGTCATTGTGGGGTTTAACTTTTCTTTTTCAGAGAGATTTTTGAGAGATTAAAATCTGTTTTTTACATGTGTGAGACTTACATGTATAATGTTACTAATAATGTAATGTTAAGATTTGAAGTTTGAAAGACATCACTGCATCACATTGTGATTGTACGAGGGTACTGATATTTGGTATCAAAAAATTTCATTAGACAATTAACAAGTGCCAAACTATTTGATACATATTTTTTTCATTTGTTATTGACAAACATTTGCAAAAAAAACCAAAAAATATTTGAACATAATAATAATTCAAACCCAAATTCAATAAAACTAGGAAAAAATATGAACAAAGAAAGATTTTCATGGAGACTAAATCTTGGTCAATCCAAGTAAGCAACGATATGTTGTCTGATGGGAACATGGTGCACAACAACAGAACCTACAAGTAATGTAATGAGCACCAACATGTCCAGCACATATTGAATAGAGAAATACATTATTTCTCAGTGAGATCACTATGACTACCATAAAACCTTTCAAAGATGAGCTGTTCTGCATCTAGTCTTTGTTCAGGGACAAAGTGGAAACTCAAAATTGTTTAGTTTGACATTTTGTCTGTTTATATGTTGTTGTTTTGCATTCAAATTAACTCCTCCAAGCCTGAAAGCCTCCAGCAGGACTACCCGCCCAGTCACATTATACTGACAAGGGTTACACTATCACACTGAAGTATACTACTGAAGGCCTCCACAAGGACTCCCCACCAGGTCAAATTATACTGACAAGGGTCTCACTATCACACTGAAGTATACTACTGAAGGCCTCCATCAGGACTCCCCACCGGGTCACATTATACTGACAAGGGTTACACTATCACACTGAAGTATACTACTGAAGGCCTCCACAAGGACTCCCCACCCAGTCACATTATACTGACAAGGGTTACACTATCACACTGAAGTATACTACTGAAGGCCTCCAGAAGGACTCCCCACCCAGTCACATTATACTGACAAGGGTTACACTATCACACTGAAGTATACTACTGAAGGCCTCCAGAAGGACTCCCCACCAGGTCAAATTATACTGACAAGGGTTACACTATCACACTAGGGTATACTACTGAAGGCCTCCAGAAGGACTCCCCACCAGGTCAAATTATACTGACAAGGGTTACACTATCACACTAGGGTATACTACTGAAGGCCTCCAGCAGGACTACCCACCCAGTCACATTATACTGACAAGGGTTACACTATCACACTGAAGTATACTACTGAAGGCCTCCACAAGGACTCCCCACCGGGTCACATTATACTGACAAGGGTTACACTATCACACTGAAGTATACTACTGAAGGCCTCCACAAGGACTCCCCACCCAGTCACATTATACTGACAAGGGTTACACTATCACACTGAAGTATACTACTGAAGGCCTCCAGAAGGACTCCCCACCCAGTCACATTATACTGACAAGGGTTACACTATCACACTGAAGTATACTACTGAAGGCCTCCAGAAGGACTCCCCACCAGGTCAAATTATACTGACAAGGGTTACACTATCACACTAGGGTATACTACTGAAGGCCTCCAGAAGGACTCCCCACCAGGTCAAATTATACTGACAAGGGTTACACTATCACACTGGGGTATACTACTGAAGGCCTCCAGCAGGACTACCCACCCAGTCACATTATACTGACAAGGGTTACACTATCACACTGAAGTATACTACTGAAGGCCTCCACAAGGACTCCCCACCAGGTCAAATTATACTGACAAGGGTTACACTATCACACTAGGGTATACTACTGAAGGCCTCCAGAAGGACTCCCCACCAGGTCACATTATACTGACAAGGGTTACACTATCACACTAGGGTATACTACTGAAGGCCTCCAGAGGGATTCCCCACCAGGTCACAATATACTGACAAGGGTTACACTATCACACTAAAGTATACTACTGAAGGCCTCCATCAGGACTCCCCACCGGGTCACATTATACTGACAAGGGTCTCACTATCACACTAAAGTATACTACTGAAGGCCTCCAGAAGGACTCCCCACCGGGTCACATGATACTGACAAGGGTTACACTATCACACTAGGGTATACTACTGAAGGCCTCCAGAAGGACTCCCCACCAGGTCACATGATACTGACAAGGGTTACACTATCACACTAAAGTATACTACTGAAGGCCTCCACAAGGACTCCCCACCAGGTCAAATTATACTGACAAGGGTCTCACTATCACACTAGGGTATACTACTGAAGGCCTCCAGAGGGATTCCCCACCAGGTCACATTATACTGACAAGGGTTACACTCTCACACTAGGGTATACTACTGAAGGCCTCCAGAGGGACTCCCCACCGGGTCACATTATACTGACAAGGGTTACACTATCACACTAAAGTATACTACTGAAGGCCTCCATCAGGACTCCCCACCAGGTCAAATTATACTGACAAGGGTCTCACTATCACACTAGGGTATACTACTGAAGGCCTCCAGAGGGATTCCCCACCAGGTCACATTATACTGACAAGGGTTACACTATCACACTAGGGTATACTACTGAAGGCCTCCAGAGGGACTCCCCACCGGGTCACATTATACTGACAAGGGTTACACTATCACACTAAAGTATACTACTGAAGGCCTCCACAAGGACTCCCCACCAGGTCAAATTATACTGACAAGGGTCTCACTATCACACTAGGGTATACTACTGAAGGCCTCCAGAGGGATTCCCCACCAGGTCACATTATACTGACAAGGGTTACACTATCACACTAGGGTATACTACTGAAGGTCTCCATCAGGACTCCCCACCGGGTCACATTATACTGACAAGGGTTATACTATCACACTAGGGTATACTACTGAAGGCCTCCATCAGGACTCCCCACCAGGTCACATTATACTGACAAGGGTCTCACTATCACACTAGGGTATACTGCTGAAGGCCTCCAGAGGGACTCCCCACCAGGTCACATTATACTGACAAGGGTTACACTATCACACTAAAGTATACTACTGAAGGCCTCCAGAAGGACTCCCCACCAGGTCACATGATACTGACAAGGGGCAAGCTAGTAGGGATCTTCTTCCTCAATACCAATTTTCATTATTGTATTACTAGTAAACATATACTTCTGATGCTTCAGAAAAATCAGGTTTGGAGGTACAAACCAATGTACAAGGTATTGAAAATAGATTGTGAAGTAAAAGCTGATTAAGGAATTTCTGTACTTTGTGTTGTAGGGATGTGCTAGCAAGTCCTCAAATACTAAACATGACAGAGCGTGTGGATTGGAAAGCATGTAAAGTCAGCAAGGAGCGAGAAGCAGACCAAGCCTCAGACTTCAAATCAGTCTTCTTAGAGTTTGACTTTAATGAGCTGGATTGAGAATGTGTATAGCTGATGTGATACCTGCTGTGGAACAGAATATACAATGTGGACCGGGTGATTGTACAGACATAACACAGACATCCTCAACTAGGCCATGCTGTCTGATTTCAGAATCAATCACTTGAGATTCCAGTGATTAAAGCGTACACAAAACACGTAAAACTATCATCGTAACCATAGGCAGCTGATTATACATTAAGTCTTGCTCCAATAGTCCAATTAAGATGATAAACATTAGGCTGGCTGATGTGTGCTTAAAGATGCTGGTCTGAGGTAGTGTTTATAGAGGGAGACTTGTGGAGTCTACCACAGACAATTTTGCTTTCCGGAATTCATTCCATTTGAGGAAGACATTCAATTTTATTGAATTAAATTGACATTAACAAGTAAAACAGAAAACATTGAGTTTTTCAAATTGTAGTCTTCTTCAAACGAATTCTCGACCCACAGTTCATATGTATGTATTATAATGACACAGGGACTTGGCGTGGGTTCCAACCCATGGACCTTATATATGTATTTTATAGTGACACATGGACTTGGCACAAATTCCCGACCCTTGGTTCATATATATGTATTATATAGTGACACAGGAACTTGGCACGAATTCCCAACACATAGTCCATATATGTGTATTATATAAAGACACAGGAACTTGGCACAAATTCTCGACTCTTAGTCCATATATAAGTATTATAGTGATAAGAGTGTAACTCCTGAGGAGGGAAAGCTGATAACTTATTAGAATTATGGCTTTTGTTGATATTCTAAGGGACATGGATCAAAATAATACCAGCATTACCTCTCAGAGAAATGTTTAGTTTTTCTAATGAGTGCTTGGTGAATGAGATTCACCATAGACCAAGTATTGGCATGACAAATTTGGAAATATATGTAGAAATAACAAGGTAGACATTTCCCTGTCTAGAAACAACAAGGTAGACAAATTCCTGTCTAGAAGTAACAAGGTAGACATTTCCCTGTCTAGAAACAACAAGGTAGACATTTCCCTGTCTAGAAGTAACAAGGTAGACATTTCCCTGCCTAGAACTAACAAGGTAGACATTTCCCTATCTAGAAGGAACAAGGTAGACATTTCCCTGTCTAGAAGGAACAAGGTAGAAGTAACAAGGTAGACAGTTTCCTGTCTAGAAGTAACAAGGTAGACATTTCCCTGTCTAGAAGTAACAAGGTAGACATTTCCCTGTCTAGAAGTAACAAGGTAGACATTTCCCTGTCTAGAAGGAACAAGGTAGAATTTCCCTGTCTAGAAGGAACAAGGTAGACAGTTCCCTGTCTGAAAGTAACAAGGTAGACATTTCCCTGTCTAGAAAAAACAAGGTAGACATTTTCCTGTCTAGAAGTAACAAGGTAGACATTTCCCTGTCTAGAAACAACAAGGTAGACATTTCCCTGTCTAGAAGTAACAAGGTAGACATTTCCCTGTCTAGAAACAACAAGGTAGACAAATTCCTGTCTAGAAGTAACAAGGTAGACATTTCCCTGTCTAGAAACAACAAGGTAGACAGTTTCCTGTCTAGAAGTAACTAGGTAGACATTTCCCTGTCTAGAATATAACAAGGTAGACATTTCCCTGTCTAGAAGTAACAAGGTAGACATTTCCCTTTCTAGAAGGAACAAGGTAGAAGTAACAAGGTAGACAGTTCCCTGTCTAGAAGTAACAAGGTAGACATTTCCCTGTCTAGAAGTAACAAGGTAGACATTTCCCTGTCTAGAAGTAACAAGGTAGACATTTCCCTGTCTAGAAATAACAAGGTAGACATTTCCCTGTCTAGAAGGAACAAGGTAGACATTTCCCTGTCTAGAAGGAACAAGGTAAGACATTTCCCTGTCTAGAAGGAACAAGGTAGACAGTTCCCTGTCTGAAAGTAACAAGGTAGACATTTCCCTGTCTAGAAATAACAAGGTAGACATTTTCCTGTCTAGAAGGAACAAGGTAGACATTTCCCTGTCTAGAAACAACAAGGTAGACATTTCCTGTCTAGAAGTAACAAGGTAGACAAATTCCTGTCTAGAAGTAACAAGGTAGACATTTCCCTGTCTAGAAACAACAAGGTAGACAGTTTCCTGTCTAGAAGTAACAAGGTAGACATTTCCCTGTCTAGAAATAACAAGGTAGACATTTTCCTGTCTAGAAGGAACAAGGTAGACATTTCCCTGTCTAGAAACAACAAGGTAGACATTTCCCTGTCTAGAAGTAACAAGGTAGACATTTCCCTGTCTAGAAACAACAAGGTAGACATTTCCCTGTCTAGAAACAACAAGGTAGACATTTCCCTGTCTAGAAGTAACAAGGTAGACATTTCCCTGTCTAGAAATAACAAGGTAGACATTTCCCTGTCTAGAAGGAACAAGGTAGACATTTCCCTGTCTAGAAATAACAAGGTAGACATTTCCCTATCTAGAAGGAACAAGGTAGACATTTCCCTGTCTAGAAAAAACAAGGTAGACATTTTCCTGTCTAGAAATAACAAGGTAGACATTTCCCTGTCTAGAAATAACAAGGTAGACATTTCAATGAAATGTCCTCTCGTCTCTAAATACCTAAAAGAAAAATCTACACTGATGGCTGTCTACTGTAGCCATGGCTGTGTCTACACTGATGTCTATCTACAGTACCCATGACCCACGTCTACGCTGATGGCTGTCTACTGTAGCCATGGCTGTGTCAACACTGATGGCTGTCTACTGTACCCATGGCCATGTGTACACTGATGGCTGTCTACTGTACCCATGACCCGTGTCTACACTGATGGCTGTCTGCTGTACCCATGACCCACGTCTACACTGATGGCTGTCTACTGTAGCCATGGCTGTGTCTACACTGATGGCTGTCTGCTGTACCCATGGCCGTGTCTACACTGATGGCTGTCTACTGTACCCATGACCTGTGTCTACACTGATGGCTGTCTGCTGTACCCATGACCCGTATCTACACTGATGGCTGTCTGCTGTACCCATGACCCGTGTCTACACTGATGGCTGTCTACTGTACCCATGACCCACGTCTACACTGAAGGCAGTCTACTGTAGCCATGGCCGTGTCTACACTGATGGCTGTCTACTGTAGCCTTGACCGTGTCTACACTGAAGGCAGTCTACTGTACCCATGACCCGTGTCTACACTGATGGTTGTCTGCTGTACCCATGACCCGTGTCTACACTGATGGCTGTCTACTGTACCCATGACCCGTGTCTACACTGATGGCTGTCTACTGTACCCATGACCCATGTCTACACTGAAGGCAGTCTACTGTAACCATGACCCACGTCTACACTGATGGCTGTCTGTTGTACCCATGACCCGTGTCTACACTGATGGCTGTCTACTGTAGCCTTGACTGTGTCTACACTGAAGGCAGTCTACTGTATCCATGACCTGTGTCTACACTGATGGCTGTCTACTGTAGCCATGACCCGTGTCTACACTGATGGCTGTCTACTGTACCCATGATCCACGTCTACACTGATGACTGTCTGTTGTACCCATGACTCGTGTCTACACTGATGGCTGTCTACTGTACCCATGACCCGTGTCTACACTGATGGCTGTCTGCTGTACCCATGACCCATGTCTACACTGAAGGCAGTCTACTGTAACCATGACCCACGTCTACACTGATGGCTGTCTGTTGTACCCATGACCCGTGTCTACACTGATGGCTGTCTGCTGTACCCATGACCCGTGTCTACACTGATGGCTGTCTACTGTACCCATGACCTGTGTCTACACTGATGGCTGTCTACTGTAGCCATGACCTGTGTCTACACTGATGGCTGTCTACTGTAGCCATGACCCACGTCTACACTGATGTCTGTCTACTGTACCCATGACCTGTGTCTACACTGAAGACAGTCTACTGTAGCCATGGCCGTGTCTACAGTGATGTCTGTCTACTGTACCCAAGGCCGCGTCTACACTGTTGATGTTGTCATGTCCCCTACATTGTTTAGCTTCCATATTAATTTCGATGTGCTCACTTTCTCCAACTACCATCATCATCAGGACCACTTTCATTCCTCGCAAGTTCAAGCTAGATATGACAGGTTGATCGTGAGATGTTTGACATGTATGTTATTCAGATAAGGCATGATTGAGCAGTCTCACCATGTTCAACCCCGTTAACTGGGATTTCTGTTGTGTGGGTAATGGGGTCCCCATTTTGAAATGGTAAGATAGACAATGGCAGTTTGATACTGATTTTATCATTTTCCACCAAGTTCGACTCTGGATTTTACGATGTGTAGGGGTTGTAAGAATATACCGACTCCTCTTTGTCTATATGAGGAGCAACATTCCATGATCTACCACGAAAGCAACCCTATGCCTCACAATTCTATTTGAAGTGAAAATAGATAAAGCAGTGGTTTTTGGTTCATATAAATTAAAGGTCTGGATGTGGTACCTGACATCACAAAGCATATACACAGTGTACATGCAGAATTAGAGGGAGCCGTAATGAGGAGACAAAGAATTTTGATTGCTGAGGAATAATCAGAATCATGCTCAGATAATCTTTTAATCCGCTCACACACTACCACAGCAAGTGGCTAAATAGCTTCTATACATATTCAGACAACCTGTGGTGTTGCTGAAACACAAGTTGAACCTTGTGAAAGACAAAATGCTGAATTTGCCTCGCGACTGTCCGCTTTACGGCTTCGTAGCGGAAACCTCACTACCCATCAAACTAAATCGCGTTTGAGGGTTTGAACACTATGAATCATGCTTCAAAACTTTAAAACAAGACAGAAAATAAAAAGACAAAATAACTTATATTTGCATCTTATCTTTAACACTTGAGAAGTGAAGTTTGAAATGTGTTTCAAGATGGTGGCCATATTGGATTTCGTATCTACTCGAAACGACGCATAACAAACTGGTGATCATCTTAGAACCATTCCAGGCAACTTAGAGCTAAATTCCATTGTTGGAGCTGGGAAGAACTAAAACAATGTGAAAAGTGAACTCAAAGTTTGACGACGTAAATGTATGAAACACGATCCAGAATGTCAATGTCTTATTCAAAAAAAAAAGAAAAAAGAAAAGAAAGGCTTTACCTTTTCATTTTCAAGTTTACTGCTTCCTGTTGTGTGGCACTCGACACTAAAAACGAGACTTTCAGAGATGATGGTTATCAATCAAAAACAAAAATCCAATATTTAATCGCTTTAATTTACCATTGAGCAAGAACCCTAAATATTTTCAGTATGAGAATTTTTAGAAGCCATTTGATGAGAGAATGAAACAGAAAGCGTTTGCTGCCTATTGTGCGACGAGGAAAACTAAAGCCTATTACTATTGTCACTCTAATAAAAAGAATGTGAAGTCTTTTTTATATTAAATTATTAACGTTGCTTTTGAAGCACTGCGCGAAAAAATGCTGTTACATGAAGAAAACTAGAGATATATTGAGTTCCTAAAGTCAGTAGTGGCGCTGCCAAGAATGACATATATTTGTGATATTTTGACTGTATAAATTGAACAAAGCACTTAGTAGCCAGGAAAGAGAAATGTTTAGGCAATGTAAGGAACTACAGCTTTGGGCGTATCAATAAACATAGTTGGGGTTGCGCACACATCGTATCAAGAGAGAGAGAGAGAGAAAGAGAAGAGAGAGGGAGAAAGAGAGATGTGGGTGTCCAGTAGGGGGAATAGAATAAACACTGAAAGTTATTAGAGGCATGTTTAAGAAATTTGTTTGATTTATTAGTTGTAGTAGAGGCTACCGAAGATTTGATTTCGTTAATGTCTCGAAACATCCCTTTT